TGGCCCCGGGTTCAAGGGTTGAGGCCTCCAAGACGCTCACATGCCAGAGTGGCTGGGGCGCGTCGCCTGTCGCACGGGATCGGTGCACCCTGCCTGCCTGCCCTCGGTGCTGTCGGGACGGCTCAGAACATCCTATCCTCTCCCTGGAACTCGCCTTCACACTCGCCGAGTCCCTTGCAGGTGCTGTACAACGGCGAGGCGTTGGGCCTGCAGGAGCTGTGCGGCACGCCCGAGTGCCCGCTGCAGGACTTCCGGCGCGCGGTCATTGCGCCGCTGCAGCTGGACTCGGCGACCTACGCGGAGGAGTGCGTGGTGCACCCCAAGCACACCGGGCCTGCCGGGACGCGGGTGGAGACGCGCCAGCGGGGAGTGAGCATCGGCAGCTCCATGCAGGAGGAGGACGAGTGAGGTGGCGGGGGCCTGGACTGGTCGGAGCCTGTGCGGCAGGGGGAGCCGACGCCGTGTGGCAGCAGCCTCTTCCTGCTCGCCGGCAGGTGTGCTGCCTTGGCGGTCTTGCCCCTGCACATCCTTGGCACCCGATGCTCCGGGCAGCCATGGCGATGATGGACGTTGCACGGTCTCCCCTTGCTTTCTTTTTATACCTGGTTTCATCTGGGTAGCATGCTGTGCCTGCAAGGCCTTACACACATGACACGGTGAGGTCAGGGGGATTCGACAACGCCTCAGGCCGGCGCGGCGGCAGTGGCGGGGAAGGACAGCGGCAGGGGCCCCGACACGGCGGCCAGGAGCTTGGAGACTGGGTCCGCCCAGTACTCGAGGATGTGCAGCTGGCCCTCGCCGTCCTGTGACCACCGGATGTGGTACAGTGTGCCCGAGGGGGACTGGATGAAGTCGGCGCCAATGGGCACCTTGATGGTCATGCCCTCGTCCGTCAGCGTCAGCATCTCAAACCTGCCCTCAGCCTGGGGATGAGGGTGTGGGGTGTGGAAAGGCATTGGATGCCAGGGGGCACAGGTAGGCGACCTTCAAAAGCCTCCCCGACGGTGCTGGACTGTCGGTGTGTCCCTCTGGGGTTTGGCACAGTTCCCTACTTGGGCAAATGGGCATGCAGGATGGAGGGCACAGCACGCCACGCTGCCATGCCCCCTGCCGTTGGGTCTCACTAGCTTCCAGGCGCCCTCCCAGACCAACAACCTGTGCGTGCTCCAGCTCGGCCTTCCGGGTGATGGTCAGGAAGACATCCTCCAGGGGGGTCAGCCGCAGCTGCAGGTCTGCCACACCCAGCTCCAGCTTGTTGACCTGGGAGACGGAATGAGTGGTTGGTGGTGGTAGTCAAACACATGATGGGGACTGCTGGGTTGTGCATGCATGTTGCAAGGGCCAGTGCCGACCTCCAGACCTTCCCTCGAAAGCCATGCCAGGTCAGTGCGATCTGTGGCCCGGGAAGCAGCATCAAGCACCACAGCCCCTGCTCACCTTCAGGTGGTGGAAGAGGGATGGCAGCTTGTCCTCGTTCTCATACGGGCACATGAAGTGCACATAGTCCAGCGACTCATCCGCTGCCGAGAGAAAAGGGAGGGCCGGTTGTTTTGTGGTGGGGGCTGGACCATGAAGGCGCTGCCCGCTGGTCTGCATGCCCACCGGCAGCAGAGTTTCAGTGGGTTCCACCCGGCCATCCCCATTCTTGAAGGCTGCCTGAGATACACCCCAATTTTGACTCTCCGCGCCGCCTCATGCACGGCCCACCTGCCGTCACGCCCAGGCGATCCGCAAAGACGGCCTTGATGCGGGCCGCCTGCAGCCTGCCCAGGGTGCTGCGCTGCTCCTCCCCGGACCCAGATCGGAGCTGCTGCTCCTTGCACCGCGGGGCCGAGTCGGCGGCGGCCTCGGTGGTGGGGGTGGCGGGGATGAGGAAGTCCCCATCCAGCGCCCCCTCCTCAGTCTGGGAGCTGCTGCCAGAGCTGCTGGTACCCCCCTGCACCCGAATGCTGATCCTGTACCCAGACCCAAACCTCATCTTCAGCCGCAGGCTGGTGCCTATGCACCGCAGCCTCCCCCGAGCCATAATCCCGATCCTGTGCATGCGTGTTGGGAAGAGGGTGAGTCTGGCGCCGGAAGGTGCAGCCTTGAGAAGAACTCTACTCTACTGATCCTGAGCCTGCAAGGTATAAGCCATGGCCTTTAGACTTCCTGACACCCAAAATGACCCCGACTCTTGCCTGTCCCCCAGGATGTCGGCCTCCTCCATGGAGTGGGTGGTGAGCACGATGGCTCGCTGCCGCTTGCAGGAGTCAATGAGGTCCCACAGGTGGCGACGGGAGATGGGGTCCAGCCCCGTCGTCGGCTCGTCCAAGAACACAAGCTGTGTTGGGGTGAAGGAAAGATGTTGTGTGGACTGACATCCAGGAGCAGGGATGTCAACACATCCGTCCGGAGGTGGAGAGGTTTGGGTAGCTCGTGCATAGCTGGCAAGCAAATACATGTGATTCGACCTGCAAACAGGCAATACAATCCGCCACCCTGACTCATTCTCAGATACCCGTGACCCTCTCACACCTTGGGGTCTCCAAGGAGGGCCATGGCAACAGAGAGGCGGCGCCGCATTCCTCCAGAGTAGGCCCCTGCCCTGACGCTCCCAGCCTCGGTGAGCTTAACCTCCTCCAGCAGCTTCGCTGCCTCTGCGGCCCTGGTTGCCGCAGGAATACCTGAGCAGCAGAAACCAGAGGCAAGAGGGAGCTGATGCGATTGATCTGATGGTTGAGAGTTCCACCGACTACCAAAAGGAGAGCCCTGCCATGACACCTACTCGGGACAGGCCCATGACAACAACGCCTATCCTTTGACTCTTGGCACAAACCCACCTTTGATGGCTGCAAACACATGCAGGTGCTCCAGCCCAGTCAGCTCGTCCCAGAGCACATCAAACTGTGGACAGACGCCCATGATGGGCCGGGTGCGAGCCATGCCGCCGCTTGATGCGATGCTGGTACCGTACACGAGGGCGTCCCCTGCGGATGTGGCGGGGTGGCACCAGCAGGGCTTTGGTTTGCCAGTGCTCAAGGACACCATGCCAGGAGTGGACTCTGGGTGGACAACACTGGGTTTCATTTAATTAGAGGCTTCTCGTAGCATGCAACCTGAAATCCTTGGCCCCCAAGTCAGCAGGCACCTGCCGAGAAGGGTATCACTCCCGTGAGGCAGTTGATGGTGGTGCTCTTGCCCGCTCCATTGGGTCCCAGCAAACAGAAGCATTCTCCTGCAGAAAGTCACAGCATCAGATGCTGAGCCGGAGCAGAGTTTGGATCCTTCCATCAAGCAGTATCATGTGTGCACTCCATGCTCTCCTTCAATCCATCCCCATCAATCTCTCACCACCCTTGTACAGTTGCCTGCCCTCCCCCAAGCCCTGCATCTGTCCTGAGCTCCCCACCGCACCTTCCAGGACTCCCAGCCAACTGCTGCGCACGGCTACAAAAGGTTTCCGCCGGAACAGGCCCCTCCCGTACTCCTTCCTCAGCCCGTACATCTCCATCGCATAGGCAGGCTGTGGAGTGGCAGCCGCCGTGTCGACGCCTGCCGCCCCAGGGTGGTGGGTGCCGCTCAGCTTCCCAGTGTAGGTGAGGCACCGCGTCTTCATCCTTTCCATCTCTTCTGCCACATCAGCATCCACCACCAGGCCGGTGGACTCCTGCGTGGATGCCTCGTAGGCCCGCTGCGCCCTTTCCAGACTGGGTTTCTGCAGGAGAATAGGGGTGGATTGCAGATTGGCGCGAGTGCCACATGGGACGTGCATGCAGGGGTCGCCCAGGTGCTCTCCACAGAACCCCTGGGCCGGCAGCCTCCCTCCGCCCCCTGCCCCAGAACCCTTGCCCGTCTCACGTAAGGTGCCACCCAGTAACTGGGCTGCAGGAAGTACCAGGGCGCCCGCCTGACCCCGTTGCAGTCTGGGAGCACGTTGTCAAAGTAGAGGGCGAGCAGGCAGTAGCCTATGCACTGCAGCGCCAGCACCCAGAGGATAGTGCCCAGGGGCATCACGCAGTCGTCCTGGTAGTAGAGCGGACTGCTAGATTGCTCGGGGGACAGGGAGCCTCTCACGCAGTAGGCCCCACGCATGGACCAGGGGATGCCACCGGGGGTTGACCCTGTGCTCAGAGAGAGGTTGGGGGGAGCACTGTCGTGTGAAACCAGAGATGGATCATTTGCATGTGCAGCTCTATGAGGCACGATTACTCAACCTCTGCCCCGAGCCACGCCAGCAAGTGCATAGGCCTCACCAGAGGCTGCCGCAGCGAGGTCGCCCACGCCCTTGGAGAGCAGGCTCCAGGGGAAGAGGCTGAAGATGACCATGCCGGCGGGTCCATACTTTGCAGAGTACGGGAAGTCAAAGGCGATGACGATGAGGCATATCCAGGCCACTACGAATATGACAAAGCCCACGGGCACAGCCGCCGCCGCCTGAAGATGTGGGTGGGTAGGAAAGCAGGGCTGAGCAGGAGTAGGAGACAGTCATGCGTGCTTGCATGCTGCATAATCCAATCAATGATGGTGGGTGGCATGCCTTCTTGTAGAGCCCTCGCACCATCTGTACGGCCGGTCACATTCCCTCGATAGGCAATCACCACAGCGCATACCTTGTTCATGAAAGTGGACAGGAAGAACCCAAAAGACGTCATGGCCAGGGACACCAGGATCAGCAGGAGGTAGCCAAGACCAAAGGCATTCCCAGTGAGCTGAGGCGGGGAGGGAGCATGGGCGAGGCGGACTGGTTGACAAATCGCATGCTTCTCCACATTACCCCTCACGCTTTGGGTGTCGGGGTGAATGGAGCAGTAGAACTACCACCCCTGGCATGAGGGCTGGCTGCCCCTTGACCTCTCACCAGCGTGAACTTGAAGGCGTATCCAAAGCCCACCAACAGTGAGCCCTCGATGACGGCCAGGGTGCCCTGCAACCCAGCGGGTGAGGGCGACAGTAGCTTTTCTGGGGTAAGGATCTGGATGCTGCTGTACGGGAACTCCTGGTGGGGATGAACCACCCGATGCAGGGCCAACATCCTCCAGCCCCAGGCCCTACCAAACTTGCTCACACCTGGGTCCTCACCTCATAGAGGAACCAGGAGGCCCAGAAGGGTGAGTCCCGGAGTCCCATGGTGGCCATGGCACGCCGGACCCCACTCTCCTCCTCATGCACGACATCATGCAGCAGCAGGACAAACTGTGCGGCGGGGGTAGGGGGTGAGGAGGAGCAGGGAGGTGACTGGTTTGCTGTCCTCCTCTCAGCATGGAGGTTGCATCCATGAAAGGGGCCATGGGCAGGCCAGGCTGCATGCATTACATTCCCCTGCCCTTCTGACGTGGTCACAGTCCCCACCTGAAACATGATGCTGGCAAAGAGGAAGGTGGGCGCAATGGTGCCGATCATGGAGGGCGACTGCAGCGGGGAGGCGGCGATGGCTGGTGTGAGGGCCCTCGGAGGGCGGGAAACATGCCTCCAAGCAATGAAACGATGCCGCAATCCCTGCCCCGCTGCACGGCGCAGTAGCACCACACCACATCCAAAGCTCACCTTGGCCGCTGGGTGGGGGAACTGGGTCAGGGCAGGGCTCCACTCCAGGTCTGGGTTGCTCACGGCGCGGCGTACCAGCTCCCTCTCTACCGCCGCCTGGAGGGGCAGCTGTGGCCGCAAGACAGGAAGGAGGGGTGGGTGGGTGGACGCTCTGGGGAGCTGGACCCGCTCGCGGTAATGAACTTGGTCCTCTCCCCCATCCCACCCCCAGCCTTTGGACACCTCACCTGGACGTAGGTGTTGGGGTGTTGCCAGTCGCCCTTGAACCACTGCACACTGCTGTTCACCTGGATGGTGAAAGCCACATTTCTCTCTCCATCCACTGACAGAATGACAGCCGACAGGACCTGCGGGGGATTGAGGAGACTGAGGTCGGTGGGGCGACATATTGAAAAGTGGAGCATAAGATAACCGCCACATGTCACGGCTACGTGTTCATGCAATATATTGCCGCTGGATCAATCTTATTCATCTTCCACGTCCCTGCAAAGGGGCCTGGATGAGTATCCTAACATCCCCTATTCCTGTTGTCTCTCTGGCCATGCTAGAACGTCGACCGCTGCTCCCTCACCGTTTCCGGATTGGCCAGCAGGTAGTCATCGATCTCGGTTTCGCTGGCAAAGCCCTTGAGGTGGGTTCGTGGGATGGGGGGGCTGTTGTTGTCCGCCACCGCTGCCAGAACCTCTTCCACCAGTGCAACGCCCTGCGAGATGAGGGATTAAGAAGAATTGCAGCCTTTTGCGGGAAGATATCCCCACGGGCGTCGCATGTACCTATCTGCAGCTGCTGGAGACGGTCTGTTCACTCGCCAATCTTGCACGCCCATGCACGGGGCCCTGCCTTTCCCACACCACCCGGCCCCACCTTGGGTGCATAGGCAATGGTGTAGCAGGCCCTGTCTTGCCTCAAGTAGATGTTGGTGGCGCAGTCTGGGATAGGCCCAATATCAACAGCCTCGGCAGTTGTCTGGGAGCTGTAGGCTGGCTGTCGCTGGCGGGAGGCAGTAAGCGCGCGGTCAACGCCCCAGATGAGGAGGATGAAGAGCACAGCCTGCGCCAGGAGCAGCACGTTTGTGCGCCATGCCAGGGCCCTGCCAACGGTTGTGTTGGTGTTAGGCAGGTCATCAATGGGTGGTCGCTGTGAGATTATGATGATCAGGCGCAAGCCCAAGCGACGAGGCGCTGTGGACCTGCCTGAACCAGCTCTGGTCACCTGATGAGAAGGTTCTTGCGAACCAGGGCTGCAAACTGAGTCCCCAGCAGGCGCCACCCCGTGATGAGGGGCGCCTTGTTCTGTACTGGCATCCTCGAGTCCTTTCGGGACACCGGGGCTGACGGACCCATGCCATCGTAAGGCTCTATTTCGGGCATGCTGACTAGTGGATCCTAATCAGAACCTCGAGATGTCCTCTGACCCCTGTGCGACACTCGATGCCAGAGACTTTGGCCCTGCCTGGAAAGTCGTTCCCCGTTAGCTCATGCGAGTCCACATGGAGCTCACCATAGCAATACGTCGCACGGCATCACTCGCCAACAACGCACCAGTTTTCAGGATATTGCCAGAGTCTAACAATTCGTTCTGTGGGAGGGAGGGACCCCTCGACACCCGCATGCCTGCTCCTTGATGGTATCGAGGCGAAGACAGTTTGGCCACGTGACCACTGAAGTTGTGTGCACGAGTGAGAGTGATCTGTCTTGTCTGGACGACCCATAGCGCCTAGTGCAGGGAATCGCCCACAATAAAATATCGTGAAATTTGTTGTGGGTGCGCCGAGGCTGGGTGGCCGTTGCCCGCCTTGCCTTGACTAGGCTCATTTCAGCCAAGGTAGGATCCTGGTATCGATACTCTCAACTTATCGCCGCCCAGAACGAGCATGCATGAGACCTGCAGGGAAGCGGTGCACAACAGTGTGCGCATTCCCGCAGTGGAGCTAAGGAATCAGAGATTACATTCGAGTCGGGATGCCCGTGCGCCCATTCAGTGTAGCCTGCTAAGACCTGTACGGCCGCATGCACTGACCCCCGGTAGGTAGCACCGAGTCCGCCGGCCACCCGGACCTCCTGAGTCAGCAAGAGCTTGGATGACGGATATGGCACACCGTCGTCTTCTGAATTTGGCTGCACATCTCGGAAGTTTTGTCCGCACACGGTCCGTCGCCCCCTCCCCGTCCCAAGCACGCGCCATGAGCTCCATCTTCTCGGAGGTCCCCGAGGTACATTCAATGTAATTTGGCATGCTACAAGGGTTGTGAAGCGTTCCCAATGTCTGAAGGGTCCTGGCCTCCTGCGTCTCACCCCGCGGACTTGACCCTGCCACCCGTCCGCAGGCTCCCGCGGACGCCATCCTCGGCATCTCCGTGGCCTACAAGAATGACAAGAACCCTCGGGCTCTGAACCTTGGAGTCGGAGCCTATCGTACTGAGGCGGGTTGAGGAGGCGGGAGGGGATGGTGGGGGATCTACATTGGCATGCGTCCTCCCGAATGCCGGCCGAGAGGGCTGACCTCCCATAGGCTGGGCAACCTCTACCTCCCACTGCATGCTCCAAGTCCATCCAGAGGCATCGATGGGACCAGTTTATCAAACGAGATTGACAATAGGCTTCCCCTCTCTGCAGGATGGCAAGCCCCTCGTGCTGGAGGTTGTGCGTGAGGCTGAACGATGCCTTCTGGACGACCCTAAGCAGGACAAGGTGTGGAGGGGGATGGCAGGTTGACGCGCTGTATTATAGGGTGGCCCAGGTTGTGATGTGAAGGTTGGTGCGTTCATTGAGGAACTAAGGGTTGTTCGCAAGGCACCGCTGGCAACATACCGCTGGTGTGTTTTATATGGGGTCCCTGCTTGCGCCCATCACAGCGCGCCAAATCCTTCGCCCTCTCCGGCGACCTGCGCAGGAGTACCTGGGCCAGGCGGGGGTCCCCGCCTTCTGTCGGGGCTCGGCCAAGCTGGCTTTCGGAGAGGACAGCCCCGTGCTGAAGGAGGGCAGGAACGCCACCGTGCAGGGCCTCTCCGGCACCGGCTCCCTCAGGGTGGGCATCTGAAGAGGGGGTGGGGGCGGAACCCTGGGAATTTCACCCTGGCATAGCTGTCTCGCACCTGCCAATGGTGTTTCAAGTTCCCTTTTCCAGGCCATTGGATCTTGCTGCGTCGCAACCCATGTGCTGCTTCCTTGCCCACTGCATCCCCAAATATCAAATGATCTCCCCCAACACGCCCCCACACTACCACCCACCTTGGCCTTCGGCTCCTGCAAGGATCCACCTGACCTTCACGCCCTCCCTCCCCTTCCCCCCCCGCGCCAACACCCCTTGTAGGTCGGTGCGGAGTTCCTTGCGGGCTTCTACCCTGGCGTGAAGCAGGTGCTGATCCCCAACCCCTCATGGGCGAACCACAAGGCCATCTTCGAGGCCGCGGGGCTGCAGACTGCGCAGTACCGGTACTACAAGCCCGCCACGCGCGGGCTGGACTACGAGGGCCTGCTGGAGGACCTGGGCGCCGCGCCGCGCGGCGCAGTGGTGCTCCTGCACGCCTGCGCGCACAACCCCACGGGCGTGGACCCGACGCGCGAGCAGTGGGCCGGCATCCTGGACGCCGTAAGGGACCGCGGCCTGCTCCCCTTCTTCGACTCCGCATACCAGGTGAGGGGTGAGAGCTTTTCAGGTGATATCATCGCCGTGCAGGGCCAGTGTGCGCCCTTGAAAAGCGCATGGGCTGGACGGCACCATCCTTCTCCACCTGGCTGGTTTCCTCGTTTCCAGAGTAGTTCCTCTCCCCCCTCTCACCGCTCAGGGCTTTGCGAGCGGCGACCTGGACGGGGACGCCGCCTCCATCCGCATGTTTGCCGAGGCGGGGCTGGAGCTGCTGCTGGCGCAGTCCTTTGCCAAGAACATGGGCCTGTACGGCGAGCGCGCCGGAGCGCTGACAGTGGTCTCCGCCGATGCCGACACCTCTGCCCGAGTGGAGAGCCAGCTCAAGAGGGTCATCCGCGCCATGTGAGCTGCCAAGAGGGGAATGTGATATGAATCTCCCCTGCCCACCCAGGCCTGCACCGCAGGAACATGCTCATTGTATCAGAGTCCTCCCTTCTGTTTCCACCGCAGGTACTCCAACCCGCCGCGCCACGGCGCCGAGATCGTGGCGGCCATTCTGTCCGACCCCGAGCTCTACGCACGCTGGAAGGCGGAGCTGAAGGGCATGGCCGACCGCATCATCTCCATGCGCGAGCACCTGCATGCCGCGCTGAGGGAGCGGGGCACGCCCGGAACCTGGGACCACATCCAGGACCAGATCGGCATGTTCTCCTACACCGGACTGACACGGCGGCAGGTGGCGGACTGCCTCACCGCCAAGCACCACGTCTACATGACCCTGGACGGCCGCATCTCCATGGCGGGGCTGTCGCCGGAGTCGTGCAAGTACCTCGCGGCCGCCATCGACGACGCGGTGCGCAACTACGCCGACTGAGCGGCTGCGCCGTGGTCGGCTGAGTTGGGGTGGGGGAGGTGGGGTTCGGCTCCAGGAGAGCCTGCCCCCGGCACGCTCGGCTGCCGCACCAGTCCCGTTTACTACATGTCTGCATGGCACAACACGGTCGAGCCAGACTCCAATTGCACCCGCCCGCGTGAGAGACTGCTGAGTGTGCGGCCCGCATTGTGGCAAAGGCATTGCGCAGCGCCCTGACCATGAGGTCGCCCCTCTGCGGCCTCCTGTGCTTGTCAGCGTCCATCCCCTGGGTCTCGCAGGACCCTTTCGCTTGAGTGATGTAGGATTAACCACAGTGTGTGAGCACGGGCGGTGGGGCAGACCCGTCCTACCCCTGGGGCTAGGGAGACGCAAGGGTTACTGTTACGCCAGGAGTACACGAAGCACCCAAAGTACTACACAAACGCCATTGACCCGCACCCCAGCTAGGCCAGTCCCTTGACCCTGGCGGCGCACTGCAGCCATGGCAGCGTCGCGGGCTCCATGGTGACCGCTTCAGATGCTGCATCCTCCGACCCCTGGCCCAGGCTGACATCGATGGCCAGGCCCTTCCGCTGCGCCGGCCGCCAGGTCTGGTTGGGCCGGAAGCCAGGGGCGTGGGCCGCCCGCGGGCCCCGCAGGAGGAGGAAAGCCCGGCAGGGGCTCGTGACGCCGCTCTCGGCGCCCGCCACCTGCATCAGGAACTGGCGCATAGCGCAGCGGGACAGGCCCTCGTGGGCGTGCGGTTGCTGGCACGGGTCTTCCTGGCGGGCGGAGCCGCGATCTCGAGTGCCTGTGCACTCGGGCTCTGGGTCTAGCCTGGCGGGGGGGAAGCGGAAGGTGATGGCCTCCAGGGGCCTAGCGGGGCTCCGTCCCAGGAGCAGGACTGCCTGTGTGCCGATACTGGTGCTGAAGAGCAGGGGCGTGATGCTGCACAGCAGAGCATCCAGCCCTGCGAGGGCCTGCAGGCCGCGGAGATATGGAGGGATTTGGTGTCTGGCTGGGCACGATACAGGCAGTGCTGGCACAGCTTCTGAAGAGGCCAGCAAAGTCAGTCTGGCATATCATGATGCGTCCTCCTCCTGCATGCCTGGTACCTTGGCCTGGCGGAGCTGGCTCCTGTCTCTTGGACCCAGGCCCTCCCCCGCCGTGCCGGCCGTCAGCTGGAGCTGGTGGTACGGGCCCGGCAGCTGGCCCCGCATGTACAAGATGTGGGGAATGAGGTCGCGCAGCACGCATGCGCATGCCGTTTGGCTCAGCTCAGAATTCGACACAAGCTGGGCCTCCAGCCGGGTGCATGTCGGGACGACCCTCTCCCTTCGCGGTCTCGACATGCTGCGTTATAATGTGTTACGCTCAGCACATGATGCTGCGTTTTAAGGGACCGAGGACATTAGGCCGTCTCTACATGAAGTGGTAGGATGAATCGCCCCTCCGACCGTTTTGTCCATGCCCTGTGCGAAGCAGCACATGGTCCCTAGCCACACAAGCGTGGAAAATAGGGTAGATCAAAGTGTGGGGACGCCAGGAAGGTCGCGGCGCGGCGCCGGGGGGCAGCGACCTGGCGTTCGCCTTTTGTATACAACATGTTGGAAAGAGCGCGCGACGTGGAGCACCTAGTTGCACGGTGAACAGGTCCAATGAGAATTGCTCGATAATGGTGGTGGGTAGCATGAAAATGACACTGTAGCTCCGGCAGGCAACGCGCCGGAGATGCGGGCTTTGTAGCGTGCCCTCCCCGGTGCGGGGTGTGGTATACAGAGAATGGAGGCCACCATGCAGAGCAGCATACATGTGTCCCCGATGGCATCCGGGCCTCCCAGAATCCTGGACGTCATGCAGATCGCTGGTGCTCGGGAACAGGAGGTGGGTGTGGTGGTGCTGGAGGGGTGGTGGGTCTGGCAGGTGCCCTCCCTGCCGAGGGTCATGATGGGCAGTGACTCAAGGAGCAGCTTTTGGTTTGGACATGTACCTCTGCCGGATCCACTGCCGACTCCTTGCTTTCGGTCCACATATGTGCAAACCATGCACCCGACCCCCGCAGCTGCATGGCCTGCTGTCTGCGCTGGGGCCACAAGACGGGCACGCGCTGGGGAGCATGCCCCGCAGCCTCCGCCGGCGCACCACCAGCCACAACCCCTACCGCCACGTCCTGCGCCCCAACAAGAAGCTGGAGGCGGTGCGCGCGGCCGCGGATGGACTCGGCCCCACCAACCGGCGCATGCGGCGCCGGGCGGGGCACCTGACCGCGCGGGCCGTGCAGTCCTGCGAGTGGCGGGCCGAGGACCTGGGTGGGGATGTGCTGCGCGCCGCCGCGCCTGACCCCCAGGTCGAGGGCCCGGGGGCCGACTGCCAGCCAGCGACGGATGCGCGTCCGGCGCCCAAGCGCCTGGAGACCCACGTCTGGCACGCCAAGCGCATGCCCATGCAGCGGGCCTGGGGCTGGGTCCTGCCGCTGCGGCGCGCGGGGCGGGGCAGGGGCCAGCGGTCGCTCGTCGCGAGGCTGCGCGGGGGCGCAGTCCTCGCGCACGACGCCAGCTACTGGGCGGCGCTGGCTCTGGGGCTGGATTCGGGCAGCCGGTTTCCCTGCATGGGCCGCCTGCTGGGGCCTGGGTGCATCGCCGCCTGCCAGGCGCTCCTGCACGCGCCAGCGGGTGGGGAGGTCGGGCTCATGCTCTACGTTCCCGATGGCTTCCCGGCGGCCGCCATAGCGCCTGCCATCCTCACCTGCGTCCCGGGGACTGCTGCCGCCGAGGCCCCTTCCCCTTCCTCGCCCGGGCACTGCGCCCTCGCCGTGCTCTGGGTCCATGCGGCGGCCGTGCGCAGGGCAGCGGCCGCGCTCGCCCAGGTGGGCGTGCCCGCCCGGCCCCTGTCCCTGCGCAGGCTGGAGCTGGTGGGGCGGGGGTGCGACGCTCTGCTGCGGGGGCTGTGCCCGAGCGGACCCCGGCACGGCGCCCCCTCCCCGCCCGCCCCACCTGCCGCCGACGGCGCGCTGGCCGTGCTGGCCGTCTGGGACCCCCGCCTCCCGCGCGACGCGGCAGGGCTGGATCCGTTGGGCGCACGAGGCCATCCCGAGGGAGTGGCTGGCCAGGGGCTCTCCTGGGACGCCCATGCACCCCCATGCCCGGACTCGGAGCTCGCCGAGCGCATGAAGGCGCAGCGCGGCATGGGGAGGGCCGAGTCCAGTGGATTTCTCGAGGGAGCGAGCGAGGACAAGGACCCGCTGCACCCTGCTGCCAGGCACTCCACGGCGTGTCGCATCGGCCTGGTGCGGCATTCGGGTGACAGGAATGCCCACCGATTTCCTGGTGAGTGGGCTGAGGTGAGCTCCTGACGCGGGTCCATTGCTGCCACCCCGCTTCCGACCTCAGGTTTGTACGACTGATCCCATGGCAGAGTTTGCCAGGCTTGCGTGTGCCAAGCTCATTCACCATCCGACCACGCCCCTCCAGGTGTCACCTTGCTGGTTCCTGGCGGCTGGGTAGGGCCATGGTGGCAGCGGCTGGTGCTGAGCGGAGCACAGCCCCTGGGCCAGGAGGAGTGGCGTGAGATCCACTGCCTGCAGCACATCCCCTTTTTCCCCCATGACTTCCCCGAGACAGAGGTAACATTGCCCCTACAGAACTTTAAGGGTGGTGGTTTGGGGGGGCGCAGGGGGACAGGACAGATGGTATCACCCATCTGCTGTACAGCTGCTTTACCATGCGCCTGGAGACGGCCAGAGGCGCGCCATGGCGCGCAGCCTCAGGGCTGCCTGACTTGTGCTCCGCTCTGGACGCTGCAAACCTCGTCCAAGCCCTTTTCGACAACAACGTTGCGTCACATCCACTCACGCAGGCGGGACGAGGGGCAGCGACAGAGGCATCGAGCGAGCGGGAACTTCGCGCCAGCAAGCGCCCCGCCAACAAGCCCGCCCCGGAGTCGCCCGCCCTCCCCACTCCCTCTGACTGGGTCAGGGTGTCTGGGAACGATGGACAAGGCCAGGACCCTGCGGGTGCGGGTGCCTCCATGGTGGTACTGCGAGGGCGCGGCGCAGCGGCGCGCGCCGCTGCCCTGGGCGTGGCCCCGGCCAGCATCCTGTGCGAGTCGCACTTGGCGCTGCTTGGTAAGGGCAGGGCCCTCGTGCCCGGCACCGAGGTCTACCGCCTGGCCGGCGGCGCGACGGGCGGCGGCCCGCTTGGAAGGCAGGAGGCGACCTGCGCCGCCGGCATCGCGCGTGGCTGCGTCCGCGAGGTGACGATGGCGGGGGCGCCCCAGAATGTGGCGCTGGCGGGCTACATCACAACCGCGTGCCGTGGCGCACGGGAGACCCGGGCCGCGCTGGTCGCCGCCGGCTTCCTGGCGCAGGGGCCCACACTGGGGCTAGTGCGCGCCCCGGGGGCACGGGTGCTGCGCTGGGCGCGATGCAGCCTGGCCTCCGCCCATGTGTGAGGGGCAGATCCTCCACTTGAGCCTGCCAGCGTTTGTGCATCACCAGCGCAGTCAGCAGGTCCCAGTTCACACAAGATTGGATCAAAAGCTGCGGGGCCTCCGCAGTCACTGCATGCGTATTTCGGGAGGTGCACAGGCACCTATATGCCCATAAATTGTTCATGATCCGCAGCGCCCAACAACTAATGACTTGACGTCTTCGGTGCACTTTTAGTTCTCTTAGAATCTGCACCGACCATGCAATTCAGTTACAGCATCGCAGCGATGATCCGGCATCGATTAGTGAGTTGAAGTGCATGTGCCATGATCGAGCGTCGCGCCCCAAACCACCCCCCTTCTGGGAAGTTCCCATTCATGCCAATGATTCCAAACCCCACCCTACTGACGATGCTGCTCCTGGGTGACGAATTACGCTCGGCGACCTCGCCGTACATTACGCGTCATGCAGCACGTCGAAGGGCGGGTTTGACAAGCAAACCCAAGCGGGTTCCACGTCAAGTGACATGAATGAGGCTCAAAAACTATATTTACGTGGCGACTAAATGAAAGTAACGGTATGTGCAAAGTGTGTGGGTTCCGAGAAGTGGAACGAGTGATTGCAAATTCCTTCCCGTCCGGAGGATGCATCCATGTCCGCTTTCCGAGAGTCTGGTCTTCCCGTCCGAGGTTTTCGCCAGTGCCTGTAGCACGCACCCATCAATGAGGGTGCCTTAAGATGTGGCTTCTACCGAAGGGTGCACCAGATTTCCCATCACTACACTGTTCGCCTCCTTCTCGCCACGGACCCGGGTAACATCCTCGTTTACCCAAAGACCACCGCTTTGTCACGTAGCTAAGCCACCAACCCGACTCAAGATGGTTTCGAAGGCGGGAGTTCTGGTGCTCTTCTTGGGCCTCGCAGCGGTCCATGTTCAAGCGGAATCGAGGTATGCTCTCATTATAGTGCGTTGGAGCTGCACCATCCGCCGCGATGGCTCGCATCGTGTCTGCGGTGAAGGCCCGGCATGCAATAGGGGACGGATGCCCTTCGTGGGCCTTTCCCTCGGAGAGGCAAAGGCTACAGCGATATCAGCACGTAGGCCTGTTTTGACGAATTTAAAGTGCTTCAGAGCTTCTGTGAATCTCTCGAGCCTCCCCCTGTGCAGGAAACTACTGGGCACCATCGCGATTGGCGCGGCTGGTGGCGCGGGAGCGTCCGCTGCCAACTCCCAGTCCGTGACCTTCAAGGACCCTCTCACTGGTAAGTGCATGGCATGTGTGGGATGCGCTAAGGATGCCCTGCTCTTCGTGTCAGGGGGGTTGATGTTATCGATTTGAGGCTCAGGTGGCATCTCTGCTGTGGGCCAGTGCAGGCATGGCTGACACGCTATCGTTCCCACGCCCCCCCTTCTCACATTCCCCCTCCTAATCCACTGACCACGCATGTACAGACTCCCAGTCCGACACCGCCACCTCCACCGCCGCCTCCCTGGAGGGGTACGCCGGCACCTTTGCCGGCTCCTCCGCCGAGACCGGCGAGTTCACCACCGAGGGCCACACCGGCGGCTGGTCTGAGGGCGTGCTGCCCACCTCTACCTCCACCATCAACTCTCTCACCGACCCCAACCGTGCCGCCTCCACCGGCTTCACCAACACCGCCGCCACCTCCGCCGGCAAGCCGGCCTCCACCAAGTCCTTTGTCATCCTGAACGCCGAGGGCCGCGGTCAGCAGGCCAATGCCACCGGCAACTCCACCGCCACCACCGACATCGACGGCACCGTGGAGACCGGCTCCACCGGCCAGGCCATCGTGGGGGATGGCGGCGCGAGTGCCCTGACATCCGTCACCGCCATCGCCCCCGGTGACTCCGCCAACGGCACCATCACCGCCACCGGTCCCACCGACGCCAGCGTGCAGGCCAGCGCCAGCGCCAAGGGCACGGCAGCCAGCCCCGGTGTGGCAGCAGTCGGCCCCTCCCCCTCCCCCGCCCCTTCCCCCAGCCCCGCCCCGTCCCCCAGCCCCTCTCCCAGTCCATCCCCGGCAATCCCTTGATTGGGTGCGGTGGGAGCGACTCTCTGCTGCTCATCCCAAGTGAAGCTCACCAAAACCTTCCCATCATCATGAGCTGAAGGATTATTCTGCCGGAAACCCAGACGGCATGACCCTTCCCACGTGTCATGTACTCCACTGTAATTCGAGCACTGGGCATTGTGTTGACTCCCAAGTGGTTTGCCGGGCATGGGAAGTACCTTGGTGACTGTCCCGAATATGAAGCAACTTCAGCATCTAAATTGATCGTTCTTCAGTCTGTGAGAATTCCGACCTGGTCCAGCGGCGGGTCACTGCAGGGTGCAGGAAAAAGGGGCGCCCCGGCCATTCGGGCACACCTTTCTCCTCAAAGGCAACCAAACCGATCAATAGGCTCCCTGCCTGCATCCTACATCTGCTGTCCTGGCTGTGAGAATAATGCTTGTGGGTGGGCAGGCAGGTGAGCCAGTGAGTGGAGTGTTAGACCGGGTACTAGCTTCCATGTACAAGTTGTGATTAACAGCAGAAACATGCAAATCCCTCATTCCAATATAACAAACGAACTTCGCGTCTTGGGTCCTCAGAACTGTTGATTATTGGCTTGATCTTCTGACACGGTGTCGTTCTGCGATGGCGAGTCGCCCTCATACTGGAAATGCCACCTTATGCCCGCTACGTTGCCGAGGTATGCCATCGCCCGACGTCCGCGGGTCCGCTTCTACGTCGATCATAGGATTGATAGTCTAACTATTACTGTCCGATTCCATTTTGTAAATACTGTACATAGATGTTTCGTGCCGGAATGGGAGTATTCCACGTGCCCTCATGAACGAGGGGAATGCTGAGCAGCGGGTAACTCCGCTCAGCCAGGATTCACGGTCATCGTTGAGCCTTTCAAGACTTGCCGGTCCCGGTCCAGAAGCTGTGCGATGCCTATCAAAACTGATGATGGACGTTCAAGTGCGAGTAACACGTCCAATCTATTTGAATTTGAGGCGTAATGTCGCACGCTATCTCTGAGAAAAAGTCATGAACCTCGTCCATCCGGACATTTTGCTCCGGATACCTCGAACCTTGCCATGGTTGTGAGAACCTTGAGGGAATGTCCCACAAGGTTCCTACCCCTTGGCAGATTGCATCATGCACATTCGGCTAAGCGCCTCATCTACACTCCCAAAAGTCGCGTTGTTTTGAGCACCAACGGTGAAAAAAGCGTCTCCTCGAAGGCATCCAAGTATGAAGTGTTCCGTCGTGATAACGCTCTTAGCGAGCCTCGCTGTCAGCCATGCCAGCGTCGGCACAAGGTAGCGTCTTCATGGGGAGACTTAGGAGTTGCTATCCAATTATATAGACCACTGAAACCCATACGGTGACAGAAGCTGGGCGCGAATGACGTTTGCAAACACACCCGCTCCCCGCCATTTCTCAATCCATGTGTCTCTGCTCCCGATGCCTTGCTCCATCCCCTCTTCTCCTATACACTCGCGTCCAGGAAGCTCTTAGCCACAGCAGGGGCTGTATCCTCCGCACAAGGGAGTGGCGCTGGCGGGGCGGATTCCAAGAGCGAAATTCTCGGTGAGTGATTGATCTCTCGAGCCGGGTATGTTGCCTGCATGGCACGACTGTGGGCCTCGAGCCGGCCTGGCTATCGCACAGCAAAGGGGGCACTGGGACTCCATCCCGGGCATTTATACAATATCAGGGCTGGATATCTCTGAAAGAATGTCTTTGTCCCTTGGTTCCCTTGACACATTCCGCACATCTCCGTTGTCCCAATTCCCATAGTGATTGCACCATATGTTGTTGGCGAGGCTGGTGCCGCCACTGGTGGTGCCTACGTGAACAATGGTCAAGCACGCACCCAGGCCATTTCTTCTCAGACCAAGGCAGACCTAGCATCCCTCATCTCCTCCACTGGAAAGGGCACTGGCCTGAACGCCACCTCCAACTCTACAGTTGCATCGTTCTTCTTGGATACAAATACAACTGGCAGCCAGGGTGGAACTGTGGCTGGTGGAACATCTGATGGAGACGAAATCTCTACCACAGGCCTTGCCAGCACCTTTGGTATGGCCCTTGGCCTTGGACAGTCGGCCGTCCTGTTCACCAATGCCACTGCCTCCTCGGACGTGGAGGGTCCTGCTAACGCTACAGCAGGAGGGTCTGTGTACATCAGAAGATCCGATGCAGGCGCGACATATGGCTTCGTGACGTCCAAGGCCCCTGGTAACCTGGCAGAAGGGAATGCGACCGCTGCTGGCAATAATACCCTGGTGGTGCTCTCCTCGGATGCTGTGGGCAAGGCGAGTGAGTCTGATGAATCCACCGAATCGCCCTCACCCATCCTGGTCCCCGCCTCTGAGTCCTCCCCTGGTCCCTCCCCATCCCCCACCCCTTCCCCAAGCCCTGCTCCCTCCCCATCCCCCACCCCTTCCCCCAAGCCCTGCTCCCTCCCCCTCCCCGGCCCCGCCCATTACCCCACCCCCGACCGCTGGCCGCTGATTGGGAAGGGCTTGCAATGGGAGGGACTCCCTGCTGCTCATCCCAAGTGAAGCTCATATAAATCTTTCCACCATCATGAGCTGAAGGATTCTGCTGCCGGAAACCCAGACGGCACGACCCTTGCCATGTGTCATGTACTTCACTGTAATTCGAGCACTGGGATAGTTGTGGACTCTTAGAGCGGTTACCAGACATTAGACACAGGACTTTGGTAGACCCTCAGGGGTTGATCTGAACATAACCAGAGTCAGCATTTGGATGGCTCTTCACCCTGTGTCCCGACTTGGTCCAGGGGGTGGAGTCACTGCAGGGTGCAAGGACAGGGGCCGCCCAGCTATGTAAACACACCCTTCTCATGAATGACCGCCAACCTGACCAAGTGCCTCACTGCACGTACATACCCCTCATCACCCATACAGGAGACGAGTAATTACGTGGTGGGGCGGGGAGGTGTTCCAGGGAGGGGAGTGCCAAATCCTGTGCCAGCACTCGGTATCCATGCGACGTGGTCGATGCGCCACAGTACGGTAACCTCAAGAGAGGAAATTTGCATCATGTGCTCTTCAACCTGTTCAGTTTCGGCCTCATCCACTGACAAACCTTACCTCTTAGTTTGGGCACGTCGCGCTCACACTGGAACCTTCCCTGTCGGACCTGAGCATTTCCGAAGCATGCCGGTGCACCCCAATGTTAGCGGCTTTGCAAGATCATCGCACAGAAGAGTTCTAAGTCCAACAACTATTATTTGTTGCCCCTTTGTGGGGAACGTAATCTCTCATCCCCTGCTGCGATGGGATTTGTCCACGCGTCCTCATGAAGCAGTCGACTGCTGGCGCAGCGGTGGATCCGCCCATCCCATGTCCAGGTTGGCCGTCCAAGAAGTTGTCGGTCCTGGTCTCGCAAGCTCAGGCATGCCGCTTGCATGGTGTAATGACGAACACACTGGTGTAACCTCTACATTCTGTGGCAATGCGGCGTGATATCGCACGCTCTCCTTGAAGTGAGTCCCTGATCCTTCTTGATCCGTACATCTGTCCGGAGGCCTCGATCCATCCCGAGATTGTGAGAACCTGAAGGGAATGTCCTATGTTCCTTCCCCCTTGGGATTTGCATCATATACACTTGGGAATATGTCTCATCCACAAACCCACCTGTTAATTTCTTTTAACAATCAAGGGAGAGGAAGGAGTCTCCTTCAAGACTCTCGAGTATGAAGGGTTCCGTCGTCATCGTGCTCCTGGCGAGCCTTGCCGTCAGCCATGCCAGCATCGGCCCAAGGTGCCCGTCTACATTGGGGAATTCAACGCCTTGGAAATCCATTATATGTGCTCGGAGATCCTGTGGCTCACCCAGGCCCTGCTCGGTTGACGTTTGCGAAGCCCGCCGTTGCCGCGCGGTCACTGACACCCGCATCGTCGCTTGTGGTCCCCTGACCCATCTCACCCCCCCACCTGCACACACAAGCAGGAAGCTGATGGCTACAGCAGGAGCTGTGGCATCTGCGCAAGGAAGCGGTTTTGGCACAGCTGAATCCGAGAGCGACTCGTTCTGTGAGTGGGTGGTGGATTTGGCCAGGGGAGGGTAGCCTGTCTGCCCCGTCGGTGTGCTTCCGGCCGGCCGGCAGCATCGACACTCCGCGAGTGCCTGGCCGATCTGCACATCGAATATCTCTGGAGTTTCCCTTCTGAACGTGCATCAGCTCCAACTCGTGAACTCGAAGTCCCGACATTCCAGTGTCCTGTCACCTGATCCTCCCAAACACGACCCCCTTGCGGCGCAGCTGCCTCCCCGGCGATTCCCGGAGCCAGCACAGCTTCGGGCGAAGCCACCGTGGAGTTCGGGCAGGCGCGCACCCAGGCCATCTCTTCCGCCCTTGGCACCCTTATCTCATCCACCGGCAAGGGGACTGGTTTGAACGCCACCTCCAACTCCACGGTTGTCTCCATCAGTATTTCTCCATCTGCCAGCAGCGCGGGTGTCACCTCGGCAGGGGGAAGCTCGGACGGGGAGGAGATCTCCGCCACGGGTCTTGCCAGCACATTTGGCCTGGCACTAGGCGTCGGCCAGTCTGCCGTCCTCTTCACAAATGCCACCGCCTCCTCTGATGTGGAGGGCCCCGTCAACGCCACTGCAGGGGGCCTTGTCACGATCTACAACTCCACCTCTGGCGAGACAATTGGCTTCGTGAGGTCTGAGGCCCCAAACAACCTGGCCGAGGGGAATGCCACAGCCACCGGCAACAACACCCTGGTGGTCTTGTCCTCGGATGCCGTTGGCAGGTCGGGTGGGTCTGAGCCATCCACGGAGTCGCCCTCCATCTTGCTCCCCGCCCCGGAGTCCTCCCCTGGCCCCTCCCCCTCCCCCGGTCCTTCCCCCAGCCCTGCCCCCTCCCCATCTCCTGAGCCGTCGCCGTCGCCGTCGCCGTCGCCGTCGCCGTCGCCGTCGCCGTCGCCTGCTGGCCCATGAGGCCAGCCTGATACTCAAGGTCTGGTGGTGCTCGTGCCTCATGCATTACATGTCAATGGAGTGTTCAAGTGCTCCTGGTGGTTGCATGCCCCTTCCCCATTCCAGATTGTCACGCTTTCACCATTCATCCCCACCGACCCATTAGTCGAGGGAAGAATTCATGATTGTTAGGACTTAAACACGGGCTGTGCTGCACTGACTGAGCATAGTCCTATGTAACAACCAGCTCCATCATACCAAGCAAGATGGGAAAACACAGACCCAAACAGTTGTCAGCAAATTTGTGCGGTGAGGTGGCATTACTGGTCAACGACTCACATCAACCAGCCAGTATGCTGTCATGAACACCAGGGCACACGGGTCACAGCTAGGATCCAGTTTTCGTTTTGGGCTGCAAATGATTCCTGATTCTATTGGTAATCGATTGAAGGATAGAGACAGCATACCAATCTGTGGCGCCACTCCCTCCCTGCTCTTTTCAAATGTGCTGCACATTGACCTTGAGCCATGCATAGGGCACCCACACCTCAGTCCGGACATTGCTTGAAACCCAGCTTTTACGTTCCAAAGTGCTGTCGAGCCAGGCGATTTGGTGTGTTTGGTTTTCTTTTCTTTAGACGCAATCCCAAACAGCCAAGCCAGCGAGACGGATGAGAACTGCCATGGTCAGGCACGGTCTACCATTGCAATGTTGGGGCAGAATTCGGGGAATGCATCCCTTCTGTACCCGTCACGGGTCCTCGATAACCATTCCTGTGCCGACGGGATCTGAAGAGGACCCCTGCACCCATCTCTGGCAACGTTCATACAGATTTCAGGACTCTTGTAGCTCTGAAAAGGCCAGCATTCGACACTGACCGACAATATCAAACATACTGAGGCTATCATGAGGTCTAAGAAGGCCAATCAGGCGGTGGCATTATCCATCGCCGGGGAAACTGCAGGTGCTTTTCTGTTCATGCGCATGCTCCTGACAGATTACCCATCTGACATCCGCACGCAGCGGCGTCTCCGTGCGGCGCCTTGGACACCCTACCGAGACTCGCATTCCACATTGGACCTGGCGTCAGATGATGTTGGGCGCCTAGGCGCCTAGAGGATGGATTGCAATGCGTTGTTTACCTTCCGGACGATATCATTGATCCATGCGAGGGCTCGCGAACTTCATGCGCCCGGATATGGCGCAGAAACAATACCGAGGACCAATCCCGCCTCTCTGCAAGACGATGCTTCAGCCTCCATGCCTTGGTGTGCAGAATTGGGGTGGGCGTTCCTACGGGGTTGAGTCAAAGATCGCCGATCTAGACATACGTCAGCTCGGATTTTCCAAGGTGCGATCAAAGTCTGACTTCGCGGTGGATCCCAACCATTTCTCGACTCAATTCTCGGAGGGGCCTGGACGTGTCATGCCGGACCGGAGGGGGGGGATCGTGCATCCCGATGAAGCCAGCCATGGGCTGAAGCCAAGGTAGAGCTCAAGAAAAACCCACCCATAATTATAAATTACCGTCCTGAAGGATTCATTGGTGTCCACTTCCTACATCAATCAGTAACCCGGTCCGCCCCAGTCTTTCACCCGGCAGCCGGTCCCCCGCCATGGTCAGGATCTCCACCGTCGTCGTGCTGCTGGCATGCGTGGCTGCTGCGCAAGCCAGCCTAGGAACCAGGTAGGTCATGTAATGACTGGACACCTAGTTTGAGAGCTTGCGCGGTGTGCTACAGGTTGAGTTACAGGGTTCCCACAGGACCACTCAGCGAGTTCCTTCGGCCCTCCCCAGAGCCTCACCACAACCTCGCATCCCTCTCGACGAGCAGGAAACTGAAGCAGTCCACGGGATCGAGCTCATTTGACGCCCTTGAGCGTGGCTCCGCAACCTCGGGGACCATCTCTGCCACCGACAAGTTCACCGGTGGGTGGGAGATCCCTGCCCGGCCCTGGCGCGAGGGTACATCCTCGGATGCAAGGCTGTGTCGCGCCATGGCCCGGATGTCCCATTCCCTCCCAGCTCTACGACAGGATTTGGGGTCTCAAACGCCGAGTGGCTCGATCCCTCACCATCCTCAACACCCTCTTGCAATACCCAACGCTTCCCCCACCCCACCCCCACGCACACAGGCACCACCATCTCCACCCAGGCGCAGGGCGCCCAGGCCGACCTCGGCGCGGCCGCCTCCAGGGCCAACTCTGTGGCCACCACGGGCCCCTACAAGGCCAACGCCACCTCTGCCACCGCGGCCAGCGGCTTCCTGGCGGGAGCCGGGGCGGGCACCACCGCCATCACCACCCCCTTCTCCGCCCTGGCCGCTGCCCTCGGCTACGGTCGGGCCGTCGGCAACGGCACCATCGACGGCGACGTGGCCACCAACCAGCGGGCCGAGTCCACCGGACCCGGCGGCTCCCTCGCCCTTGTCGTCCAGGGGGCCAACGCCAACGTCGACGACGGCCTCGCCCAGGTTGGGGGCGGAGCCACCGCGACTGTGGTTCGCCAGGTCGCCTCCGCCGAGGGCACCACCAATGCCACTACCACACCCTTCCACAACAGCACCGCCCTCGGCAGCGCCGACGCCGTGACGGCCGTGGACACCGCCAATGGCGTCCTTGCCTCCCCCAGCCCCTCCCCCAGCCCCTCTCCCAGCCCCTCCCCCAGCCCCTCTCCCTCCCCCCAGCCCCTCTCCCTCAATTCCACCTCCCTAAGTCATCCGCAGGATGCCAAGTGCCTGCCCTTCATGCCAGTATTGCTGATCCCTCTGGATGTTCTCCAGCCACAGCTCCTCATGCTGTCTCCCCGGTGAACCCCACCCCACACATATGTAACTACGCCCCACTCTTGGCAACTTGTTCAGCATGCACAGGCGGGTGCACTTCTTCAGGGCAGGGGATTGGATGCAAATAGGATGACACACAGTCACAGCAGCATGGCGGAGGTGGATGATGGCCCTCCCATTCCGCAATGCATGTTTGTTCAGCACAATGGACATTGGCAGTACAAGCACCCGTCATGTCCAACCTATCGTCCTCTCAAAGGTCCACCAGTCACCAATCCTTCAGGACGCTGGCCGCCGACTTCTCTCGGTGGTGGTACTGGGTGTGCAGCAGGCGGGCGGCAGACCCGGGGTCTAGCTGGGGCCCAGCCAGCATGTCGCTGTCCCCCAGGGCGCCCGGGGTCAGGTCCCCTCGCCAGGCGTGGTAACCCTCCTCCATCGCCTGGATCAGTTGTGCCGGTGTCTGGCCGGGGGAGGGGCGGAGCTGCCCGCCTCCGTTCAGACACCCTTTGAAGGGGAGAGGGAGAGGCAGGGCGTGGGTGTGATGAGGGATGCAGCATCGGCGTGGGAGGTGCTTGAGCAATCAATGCACCGCTGCCTGGTCCAGTCACGGCAATGTGGCCCTCTGTCCAGTGTAAAACCTGGTGCACAACCCCGGTGTGGCAGGGCAGTACGTCGCAGAGGGCACAGCAGGGAGCCTTTGGCCCCATTTCACCCCCACGCGGAGCTGAGCCCCCCCGCCCCACCAGACGGGCAGGCCATGACCTCGACGTAGTCGTAGGGGCACTTGCCCAGGCGCAGGCGTCGCATGAGGCCCTGGATGTTCCGGAACCCGTAGATGGCTGCAGCACGGAACACTGTCTTGCTCGCCACATCCAGCGACGTCTCCTGGATGTCTGCATACAGACAGGTGTGTGCAAGTAGAAGGAGGGTATGGGGCTCCAGGCTGGGTCCTTGCACATCGCTCGCCGTGGTGCAGCGGTGCTCGGTTGACACATGCGCTGGGCAGTCCATTCCCTCCCATTCGCAAGGGGAAAGACATTCACAAACAGTGCTTCAGCTTAGACCCCGTGCTCACAGGAACCTGAGCAAACACCCCACCCCGCCCTGCCGCCCAGCTCACCTGGGTTCCGCCCGGCCTGCGTGACCAGCGTGCCCTCTTCCAGCTCTACGCCATGCAGCTCTGAGGCCACGCCACGGAGCACGGCTTCCATGTAGCTTCCTGACCCGGCGTGGACGGCCCCCACCCACCCCGCCCGGCCGACAAGCCCCCGCCCGGGCGAGGCCGGGCGGGGCACGGTGTCCAGCCCGACCTCCTCCCCGGGCAGGGGTGAGTCCAGGCGCAGGCCTCGCTCCTGCAGCAGGGCCGCCACCTCCGCCGTGGCCAGCACACAGTCCGTCTCCGCGACGCGCCGGCTGGACCCTGCGATGGAGAAGGGCAGGAAAGAAGGGGGGGAAAGGAGTTGGTTGTTATGGCATACCGTCCCTGGTTTGGTGTGGCCTTTGCTCCCAAAAAGCACAGCCGTCTGTCTGTCCAGCACAGCACCCCAACCCCCTACCACACCCTCACCCTCAATGCCGAGGGTGAAATCCTCGCGGCTGGCCTCCAGCTTTTTGTCGAAGCAGGGCATGATGGAGCAGTGGAAGACGTCCTCAGGCGCCACCCCCTCCCCCGCCGCCCAGCTACCCTTGATCAGGCTGGCCGTGACTGCCTGCGCGCTCTTGGTGCGGGAGAGGAAGGGCAGGACCCAGGCGCCGTGCGTCTTCTCCGCGTAGCACACCCAGCCGGGGCAGGTGGAGGCCAGCACGGGGAGGCGCGGCGCCGCACTCTCTTCTCCCGCACGGGGCGACCGCGCCGCGGCGCGCAGCCGCCCCACCGCCTCGGCGGCGGCGTCTGCCAGCGCTAGGTCCCGTGCCGGCGCCGTGCTGAAGACGGCGTGGGCGCCCAGCGCGCGGAGCGCCGCGGCCAGGCGCGACTGCGTCAGCGCAGGGGCCTGGCCGGCCGCCACGGCCAGCGACACCACGGACTGGGGGGAGAGGGATATGGCGACGCGCAGGTGCCCCCCTGCCCTGGCCTCCTCCAGCTTGCCCAGCAGCTGCGCCGTGCTCTGGGCCTGGAGCAGGACCGTCTCGGCGCTGGTGATGCACCCGCTGCAGGCCAGGCAGTCGTTCAGCGAGATGGTGACTGGGGAGGGTGGTGGATGGGCGCCGAGGGTCGCCACTGGCGCCGCGGCCTGTGCCCCTGCGTCTTTTTGTAAAGCGCCCGCAGTCCGGGGCCGCTGCACCTGCACCATGCCGGACTGCATGCGGTCATGGAGGGCATGTCAGTAGATGCGGGTGTGCATGGCCGGACGGTAGCTGAGACAGGGGCTCCATGCATGCTCGAACTGGGATGGTAGGCCCACTCACCTCATCGAGGTCAGACGTGAGTATGGCCTCTTTCGTTCCTCCAATGCTCACGACGCAGTCCTGGGATGGATTTATAAAGTCGCTGATGTCGCTGATCTTCACCGCTCCAGAAAACATTGCCCAGAGCCCGTGGGGGCTCGCAGCCCGGAACTGTGTTAGCGACCGCCAGGCACGTCGACTATATTTGCGACGGTAGCATCGGGAGGTGGGAGATTCAAGTGAAGATCGAGACGTGGTCGTGATCTACTAATAATTCAAGGACCCTGGGAGACCAGGCCATGCTGTATCGGTCGGTCTGGTGACCTGGTGCCTACTATCCTTCCGGAGTCTGGCGGCTTTTAACCTATCGGCGCCCAAGGTGGACACACATGAGTAACTTAGAGGCTGGTCTTCACGAGACTGCTTTCCCTACAAACAGTGCGTACCTGATGAACTTATTGTTACGCAGAATACAACTCTGCAGCGCAAGGGTGTAGCTGCAAGCACTAGACAGACTGCAGGCATTCAACTGAGGAATCATGCAACTTCCATAAGTCGCACCATCCCTCAGGCCACCTGTGCAGCCTCCTTCGCCTTCTTCTTCTTCTTGTGCTTCTTATCCTTCTTGGTTTCGTCTTGTCCTGCCTCGACAACATCGGACTTTGCGGCCTTCTTCTTGCTGGCAGGGGTTGGCTCCCCGCCGTCCTCCTTCCGTTTCTTCTTCTTGTGAAGCTGCACAGGGTCCTCACTTGCCGCACAGGATTCCCGGTCTGCAGTGCTGACTTTTCGTATGGTCATGATCCGTGTCACAGGCCGAGCTTTGCCGTCTACTGAAGCCGGGGGAACGAAGATGTGCCGGGCGCTGTTGTTCTCTGCTTCTAGGACGAACGATGCGCCTGGGAGACATGACCAAGAAACGAAGGGTGACACGTCAATGCAACTTCCTGCATGTTGTGACAACGGTGCAGCTGGTATGGACATGCACATCACGCCCTTCGATGTCAGCCTCCACGATTCTGCACATGGTCTTTTCGCACGGAACTTGCCGTCACTGCTGGTCGTTGCTTCCAGTCCCTCTTGCCGTTGTTGATTCACCCTCCACTTCAGCTCGGCATCCAGAGAGAACTGCAAGATGGGGAGGATTGGGCGTCATGCCTCTTCTCTCTGTGAGAGGATAATCCTGTGCCAGAGGTTGAATTTAGGCTTACGTCCTCCCTCAGACAACCATCCGCCTTACATCATTGGGAGTCTGAATCAGCCAAATCTCTTTTCCATGGCCGTCACCTATCAACTCTGCCATGTCTATTGTATCGGTGGCCGGAGCATATGTGGGGTCGGGCTGGTACCTGTTGACAGAGTGGGTATCGGGGTGCATAGCTGTGGTGACCGAAATTGCACAAACAAAGCCACAGACCGTCCATCCGCTATGAGTCGAGTACTCACCCTTTCACGAGTTGCCTGTTTTCGACCGCCATGCCACTCGCTGTCGGGGTGCCACAGAGACCTGCCGTGCTCCCACCGTGCGCACAAACACAGAAGCCAAGGAAAGTCGCTGACGAGGTGGCACCCAACCAGCACGCTGTGGGTGCAGGATATAGAAAGTTTTCGGTCACTTTTGAGTGGTACTCCACAGTCTGCGGGCGCCCCAGAGTGCATCTAGGTTCCCACCACTCGCGAGCGGCGAAGTTTGCGCGCCGGCGCGCGGACACGACGATTTGGTCATCGTCGCATGACGCTCACATTTCCAACTCACCAGGGTGGCTCGAAGATCCACATGTTCGCAGCATTGTCTAGTCGTACCTAATCATTCTTCAGTTTGCGGCTTCAAGATCCTGGTTGTGGTTTTTCTGGAGGCAAGCTCCCCTGTGCAAGGAAGCCAAGCTTGACTTACCTCTAGAAAGCTCCGCTCCACACCATGACCGCGCCGGCCGACAAGCTGACCGAAGAGATCGCCGAGCAGGTCGACGATCGCACGGGGTGAGTAGGTGCAGTTGTCGGTTGCGGGGTTCCTGCCCGCGTGGGTGGCTGTCGTGTTTCCTGACCCTGCATGGCCACTCTTCCCCGCCATCACCCTTCCTGCCACCACTACATCGCCTGCTCCTCACCACAATGATAGGATCCACATTACATCCGGGCCCCGAAAGGAGGTCGAGGATGCGCCCGCCGACATATGGTACTTCGCCTTTGGCTCCAATCTGGCTGACTCGGTCCTGCGCGGTCGCCGCAGCTACTCCCCCGCCGAGACGGTGGGGGCCCGGCTGCCGGGGTACCGCCTGGCCTTCACGCTGCAGGCCCTGCCCTACCGCGAGCCCGCCATGGCCAGCGTGGAGCGCATCCCCACAGAATCGCCCCCGGTGAGCAATGGTGCGGCGCACGCCGCGGACGCGGCCGGAGCCCGGAGGCGAGGGCCCGCCGGCGCGGAGCCGTGGAGCCAGGGCCCGGAGAAGGGCGGCGCAGAGGACAGGCAGGAGGTGCACGGCGCGCTGTACAGACTGACGCAGGGGCAGTGGGACTACATCTGTGAGACGGAGGGGGCAGCCGGCAGCAAGCAGAGCGATTACGAGATCCTGGAGGTGGAGGCGGAGGCGTACGACGGCCGCAGGATCGAGGCCCGCACCCTCACCACCTCCGAGCGGGCGCTGCGCTTCAGGAATGTGAGTGAAATGGAAGTTCACGGGGCCAGGAATTCGTGCCAGAAGGTGGCAAGGAGGAGGGGGGTCCCTTTGAGTCTTGAGGATGGCACATGATGAATGATGGCTGTTATGCATACACCATCCTTGCCCAGCGCAGTCTCCCTGCTTGCTGGGCAAGGTACGTCGGTCCGCAGATCGCACATTCTTCATGCTGATGGGTTCTCCAACTGTCGGTGCCTCACGCAGCAATCTCCCCACCAACCGCCACAGGGCCGGAAGCTGCTGCCCAGCAAGCGCTACCTCACCATCATCCGCACCGGTGCCGCTGAGCGGGGCCTGCACGCCGAGTACCTGGCCTACCTCGACTCCCTGCAGCACTACCAGGCGCGCACCCTGGGCCAGAAGGTCATGGGGACCCTCTTCCTCGGCATCCTCTTCTCCTTCTTCGGGCTCTTTGCGGCGGTGAAGCTGAAGCGGAGGATCATGGGTGAGGTCCCTGGCGTCAGCAAGAAGGATGCGGGGCCAAGGCTGCTGCCCCAGCTCTTCCACGCCCTCGCCAAAGCTTCTTGGGCACTCCATGACATCCTCGAACCGGTCATGGGATCTGGTGCTTGTTAGCCGCAGGACGTGCGAGTGATTGCGTGGCAGGACGATTGGAATCGGCGTCATGCCTGTGCGGTATTTACTGCAGCACTGCAATCTGTACCTACATCTCAGATTGCCCAAAGCACCCCTCTCAATCTGTACCAAAGGCGGCCTGAGAGCCTTCGTCACCGTCCTCTTGTGAATTTTGTCTCTGGTATTGATTGGTACAGTTTCTCTACCATGATTGGTGGTCATCACCCAAGCTGTCATGGCCACTGTAGACTTTGTCACCTGCAGTGCCTTGGACATACTGCCATTTCTCAGGGATGTCTGCTGAACTTTTTTGTAGGCCCTTCCTCTCCCTCTCTGTGCTTGACCCGCTCATACATAGCAAATAGGAGATCAGGATCACCCGGATCTGGTGCCTCTAAAAGTAGTCAGGCTAGCTTGCTGTCTGCTCACCCTTCCTTTCAACCGTTTGGATTCGACATTACCCCACACGCGTTGCTTCCCCCTCTGGTTGACTGTACACCATTGCACAGAAAGTGCTTCCAGCTTCTCTGGCAGAAAATGCCCTAACCTGCTTAAGCAGCCCTTTTCCCGCTCTACGCTCAGACTATCAGGCACAAGTCTTGCAACATCAAGTCTGCTCGAACACACAGGCATCGAATGGAGCACTGATCAGGCAAATTGTAAAGACATCAGGCTGCCTTGCTGGTGTTGCTTTGCTGATCCGAATCGCGCCTCCCCCTGTTAATCCACCTGGGGCAGGATCGCCCCTGTGCAAGCCATAGATACGGACGCACTGACAAATCTTAGATATTTCTACACAATTACATCGGCAGCAATCCTCTCTGTCTCTCCCACTTTCCGGCCCTGACCTCAGCCCCATCATGAGCGCGCAGGGTCGTCCTCGTTCTTGGCCGCAGATATTGGGCCTCCTGGGCCGCACCGGGGTGCGAATTTACGCCAGTGTGCGACTAGACACGGTTCTCACAGCCCTGGTTGCGTCGTTCATGCCCCCGAGCCTCAAGGCAAGGCTCGTGCAGCAGGTCCTGAGGGTGCTCCTGGCCGAGAGGGTGGCCGTGTCATGGAGGAGGAAGGCGCGCCAGCTGCAGGTGCGACACCGTCTAATGAGGCATGTAGAGGGGATGTCAGGGCCTCATTGGGCAAAGCAGATTGTGAGGGCGGTGCAGCCATCGTTTGGGGCACTTTGGCATGGTGGACGGGCAGTGACCCGCTGCCGACGTCCTGCTCACCCTCAAACTTCCCCACATTCCTATCGTAGTAATCCCACCTGCACCACCTCCCATGCCCCAATTTTCAGGACGAAGCCGCAGCCAGTCGGCCCCCTGCCTTTGCCCAACCAGCCTCCCGGGGCACGAACACAGGGCTTTCCAGGCAAGCGGTGGTGGGCCCTGCCTCCCGGAGCGCCGCCCCACCTTCCAATGGACAGTCGGTGGCCGTGCCCCCACCTCCGCAGCCGAAGGGACTCACTCCCCTGCCCGCAAAGAAGGGACCCCGCCCCTCGACGTCTAGTGCATCCCAGTTGACGAGCACCCTCGCCTCAGGGACGGTACTTGCATCACAAGAGGGATGACAAGGACCTGGCGATTTTGTTGCTTGCTGTTGCTGAAAGCTTGCTACTTTGACTTTTGGGTGTATGAGTTGTCCAGGCGTGTGGACAAAGTGGGTTTGAGGGTCGCACTTCAGGCAGTTTATGCAGCAAGTCGCAGTCAAAACGCGATGCTCCAGGAGAAGAAATGTCCCAGCTTCACATCGCCTTCCCGAGCGCAATCTACACCAGTTCCCATGAAAGCTGTCAATTATTTCCTTCAGGAACCATGCGTCCGATCTTCCAGGCGACAGCGCCAGATGCCCTACAAGTAATCCAAGTCACACCACAAGCCAACCCGCTCTCAGTCGCGGGCGTTTCTTTGAACTGCTCGCTTGCACTCATTTGAGAGCATGGCTGCCCTCGCTGCTCCAACCCCTGCCCTCTCCCGCGGCTGTCAGTACCCACTTCCCTGCGCACGCCCTCTCCATCCTCCATTCAGCGGCATCGCGGGGACAAGAACCCTCCGCCCTGCCTCCCGAGGCTCTCGCTCTCGCGTAGCGGCCGCACCGGGTCCCCCTCCTCCTACCCCCCCCGCCTCCGACTCCCTGATCAAGGTACCATGTCCTCGTGTAGTCCAGCTTTTATGTTTTTCAAATGGGAGTTTGTGCGTTTTCTTGAATGACAGGTGTGAGACCCCGCGGCCGCCATCCGGCCTGTCACGTCCCAAATCATCCCCCCCTGAGATCCTCCCCCCGTGAGATCCTCCCTCAGGCGACGGGCGTGCCCCTGGTGGACGAGTTCTGCAACCTCCCCTCCGTCAGTGAGGCCCTGATCCAGGGCGTGCAGATCCTGGTGGTCACCACCGTGGCCTGCTTCCTGGCGGGCATCGCGCTGGCTGGGCGAGGACGAGGACGGCGCGGCGCACCGCTTTCCCACGCTGCGCGCCGCGCTGCGCTCCGTCACCCGCCCCGCCGCCCGCCTGCTGCCCGCCTGGTGGCTCCTCCACTCCCTCACCACGGTCTCCGCGCTGGGCCAGGTGGCTGGCAGCCGGCGCTGGGCCGAGCTCAACCGCCTGACCTGGGGCAACGGCGCCCCCGCCCTGGCCCTCCTCCGCTTCACCTCCCAGTTCTTCCAGGACCTCACCCAGATGGTGGTCATCGTGGGCGTGGCCTGGGCGGTGACCATCTTCAAGGACCGCGTGGTGACCTGGGTCCAGGGCCTCATCCGCGGCGACCCGGGGCAGGACAGCGCGCTGTGCCGCCTCATCCGCCCCGCGTCGACGCTCCTGGGCTGGGGCATCTACGGCGCGGCCGCCTTTGCCACGCTCCAGAACTTTGGGGTCAACATCCAGCCCCTGCTGGCCTCCGTGGGAGCCAGCTCTGTCATCATCGGCCTGGCCGCGCAGAGCACCCTGAAGAACTTCACGGGCGCCATAATGCTGGTGAGGGAGGGGTTGGGGTGGAGGGGTCGTTGAAAGAGGGATTACGATTATGGAGAAGGGTGATCATAATGTGGAGGGAAGCTGAAGAACGTCAGGGCTCTGGGAGGAGTGGTGTGAGATGGCTCTGGTGCCTGCAGGCCGGAGTTCACGCTGGGCTGTGCCATCCTCAAGCCTTGGCCTGGAGAAAGTCACCTGTTTGGCTTGTGCACATACAGCTCGGCCCCTCTGTCACCTGCCCAGCTGCCGGATCACATTGCGCCCACCTTCACCACACCCATCCTCCCCCTCCTCCACCTGTTCACCTGCAGTACACCTCCCAGCCCTTCACTGCTGGGGACAAGGTCCAGCTGCTCACTACGGGTGGCGGGAAGGTCATCGAGGGTGAGTGCCTTGCATGGGAATCCAGACATCACTGCTGGGCGAGGAGCCATCTGGCTTGGCGAACCATAGCCGAGCCTGTTGATCGTGCTCACCCTTTTCCTCTCTTCTTCCCCATCCCCATCTGCACAGGGGTGGTGCAGTCCATCGAGCCGAGCCGGACGGTGATTCGGGTGGAGGATGGCAGCCCCGTCTACATCGCCAATGCCGACATCCTCAACTACCTTGTCAAGTGAGGGGTTGCAGATAGATCATGATGTGGCTGTTTTGAGGAGGCCCAGCGTATTGGAAGGGATTGAACACTGTCAAGTGCGCCAACTACTCTCTCATTTGTGGACCTGGGAAATGCCCTTATGCAAGATCATATGCGATGCAAGATCCACCCTGGTGGCGCAAATGGCCGAGCACCTCACTCTACGACGTGCGCTTGCCACTTTGCAGGAATCTGAGCCGGTCCAACCACCCAGTGTCCAAGGGTGGCGTGCTGGTGTGAAGTGGACAGAATTCTATGTTTCTGACCGCGATGCATGCTCAGCATGGACGCCACACTCCCCACTCAAGCTTGTCCCTGCCTTTGATAACGTGGTGCATTACACGTTGTTACGTTGATACCGCCTGACTGTACAACATGACTAGCGTCCAGGAATTCGTCTTGACATGTACTGAGATGAACGGAGGATCTGCACTGTAGTGAGGACACATCCCGCGCGCTCAGCATGGCACAAGAGCCAGTTCGACTGCAGAAGATTACACGCAACTCGCTGCAGATACAATGGCGGACTTAAAGCAAAGACATATATAGAAAATCCTGGAAGTGCCTCAGACGATGTAGGTTGCATCGCGCTTGCGTCTCAACCTCGGAAGCAGCATTCTCTCCACACATCCCCTCGAGGAAAGGCATCCCAAGCATGTCGTTCGCCAGGACATTTCATCGTCAAAGACCGCTGCACTTCATGATAGCCGCGCTGTAAGTCTTGGCATGAGGTAACTCTCCTTGTGCCCGCTGCACTGTTGCAAACCGGCAACGAGGACCGCTGTCCATCATGGGACTGCTAACTCGAGGTCTCGTTCTTGTGCTGACTGGAACCTTGCAAACATCACTCTGCAGTGTGGGTATTGCCAGCGGCTACTACATTTTTGAGCAGCCATTGCGAGAGGAATATCTACGACAACAACGCCTTGGCCACCCGCCTCCTGGTCGCGAAGCCAGTCTCGCCAGTCCCCCCGCCGCGACGCCCTCCTCCACCCCACAATGAGAGATCGGGAATGAACTTTTGCTTGAAGACACACGACATGTTGATGCAGTAGTCACTCCCTGAATATGTAATGCAAAGGGTAAGCCCTGCCTGTGCTCCCTCCCACACAGTGTTGCCCTGATTCTGAATGTTACACATCGCAAGCATGCATGGTACAGGAGGAGGCTCACGGCAGCAAGCCCGAAACAGAGTGCAGCAACCTGCACTGCACTCAGGGAGGAGCTTCAGGTCTGCTTGGCAGCACTCGTGCCAATAAAGAAGGGAACCGCGTGCCCGACGGCCAACCTCAACTCCTTGCGGCCCTCAAACATAGTCGGCTCAGGCAGCCTCCGCAAAGCCAACCCTCTCGTTCCCATAATCAAAAACAGTGTGGTAGGGACCCAGGAACACATCTCCCAGGATCCAGAGGGGGCCCAGGGGAGGGGGAATTTCCAGGCCCATGAAACCAGAGATGCACTGCTCCTGGCCCATGGCGCCGACCTGGAGAGAGAGGAGGAAAGCGGGGCGCGGAGATTGTCTCGCGAGTTGGTGCACGCCAGGCTGTGGGACCACAAGCGCACTTTGAAAAGACATTAAAAATGCTTCAGGGTTTGTCGCGTCAACTCAAACCAACGCATGGCATCATGCTTGATCTTACGATCCAAATGATCCAAATCATTCTCAAGTCCGACCCTCGCACCTTGAGGATGTACTGCTCCGGAGTGAGCACAAACTCCTTGCCGGAGATGGTCAGCGTGACGGCGGGCATGGTGTGCAGCTTGGCGCAGTCCACCACTGCGGGGAGGAGATCGAAGAAAGGGTGCACAAGGTTACAGCGATTACTGACAGGGGGTGGTGCTTGTACACTGCCGTCAGAGACTCCTGGTTTCACAGCTCCAGCAGCAAGAACATGCCGCTGTCCCAAACAATCACTCTCCTCTCGTACACCACCAGCTCTGGACACAAACCCCACGATCCTGGCACAACCAGAAACTTCTTCTAGACAAGAGCACACCCCGGGTCGACTCACATGACTCCCCGCCGCTGCCCAGGGACAGTGACTCGCAGGCGGTGTCCAGGCTGTCCACGATCTCGGCGGCGGTCTCGTTGTTGGCCAGCGCCACCTGCGATGGATGCAGGGAGAGCAGTGGGGGCCGGCAGTGTGGACATGATAGAAGATTGTGCGCCTGGTGATGCAAAGAGTTTACTGCGTAGCCTGCCTGCCCCACACATCCAGCACGCCACTTGCACGAGACGGTCGTGCTCCAGCCATCCTTCCGCTTGGTCCCCTCCTGCCCCAAAGCAGGAAACAACCCATTCGCCTCCTCCCACCCAGTACCAGGCTGCCAGCACCACCCACCTTGGCGTACTGCACCACAAACTGGCACATCTGGCAGGCATCGCCGTTGCTGGGCATGCCCCAGCTCCCGACAGTGCTCGACTGCGCGGCGTGGCCGGGGGCGTAGGTCTCCAGCAGCCGGCGGTAGGCCGCCGTCTGGTGGGCGCCGGCGCTGCGCTTGACGTCGGTGGCCACGCCTGCGGACGAGGAGTCGCAGAGGCCCACGGTCGCGCAGACGGCTCCGGGGGGCATGGTGTTGATGATCTTGATCATCTCGGGGACGTAGTCGTGCACCATCTGCTGGCACTGCTGCACCAGCACAGGCTTCGCGCCGATGGCCTGAGGGGAGGAAAGGGGGAAAGGGGGGCAGGGTGTTAGGGACGGGGATTGGGTGATGCGGTAGGGAGCAAGGTTGCTTTACGGTAGCCTTGGGGAGGCAGATCGGCCCCGGCCTGAGATGGAGCTGTAAGGGAGCCGGAACTTCACTCCATGTCCTCCCAACCACATGCCAAATCCTGGCACATAGAGTAAACAATCAAGGCAAGGCCCAGCCAGCCGCCTCGCCTTGTTGATGCTGTCGATGGCTAGGGGGGGGCCCACCATGAGGGAGGTCCCTGTGTCAGCGATGGCCTGGCAGCCGTCCTCGCAAGAACCCTTGCCCTGCCAAGGGAGGTGGGGAGAGGGTCCTTGGCTCAGAGCCTCCAGGGAATCCACTGCCTGCTGAGGGGATCACACGCTGGGGGGCGCTGGCATCACCCTGCAAGCACCCTTAAAGCATCTCACCAGGGCGACGCCCTCGACCTCCAGACTATCCAGCTTGAACTGCCAGAAGCCGCGGCGCGTGATGGGCGCCCTGCAGGTAGGGAACCCAGGGGGGGTGGGGGTTAACCCTGGAGAGTGTGCAGCGGAGCCTCAGCACACAATTCATTACACAAAGGGTACCCCGTCCCTGCACGCAAGTGGCCCAACCTCGCCCCTCACCAGACGTGCTCCCCCTTGTAGTGGTCCTTATTGACACCGCCCAGCACCAGCTCGCCGCCGGCCTCGCCGTCCTCGACCTGGAGCGCGGGGGGGTCAACAAGGGTGTGTGCGACAACTCGCAGCGCTGCCATTCTATGGTGTCCTGTCATGCTGCAAAAGGGACTGCGCTCGGACCCCAACCCCACACTTCCATGGCCAGGCCCCACACATTCCAAGACCTCAGCAGACCACCTCAGCACCTTGCGATTGAGCCAGAAGGAGAAGACAGGCTCGTCGAGCAGCTTCTGCTTCAGGGCTTGCTGGAAGGGGGGTGGCACCTTGTTGACGGCAATCTCGGGGAAACCCAGTCCCTGTCAGGAGGGGTACATGGGGTGGGGACGGAGAAGGCGGCATTGGAAGGCAAAGCACAGGGAGGGAACCGAGGGTGAACCGCTCACAGCTTCTTGATCACAGGATGAGCAGGCTGTGACATTCACATTGGGTGCTGATCTATACATGGCCCACAAGTCAGGTACATTTACCTGCTATCCAGACACACAAACAGCATGTCAGAGCCACCCGCCTCCATCAAGCTCCCCCCCACTATGAGCCCCTGCAGGCCTCACCAGGATGCCATCAAACTGTGCCGCGATGAAAGCCAGGGCAGGCTCATTCACGGCCTCGGCAAAGATCTGGTCCTCGATCTTGAGGTCTCCCAGGGTCAAAACATCGTTGGAAAGGAAGCCAGTGAGGGCGCCTGAGCCGTACTGGATGGCAAAGTCACGCCCGTCCTCCTGGGAGAGACAATGTTGAGGTAAGGTGAGAGATAGGGCTGTAATCATAGGATCGGTGGGCCCTCACGCAGAAGTGGAGCCTCTACACTGCTGCCAGGGAATCGCATGAAGGCAGCAGTAAAGTGGCCTGTTGTATACATCCTCCATGGTCAGGGCTGCCATCAAAACAACACCCCACCACTCAAGTACCAGGTAGGTGGAGGAGGCCTCAGCATTGTACTGTGAGTGCAGGTAGCAGGCAATGGAGAAGTAGCTGCACTTAGAGGAGGGAATCCACAGGTTGCTGCTCCCAGTGTCAAACACAACTTGGAAGGGCTGAGGGGGGGTGCCCAGCCCGATCTCGCCATAATACTGAAGAGGGGTGGGGAGGAGGCAGGCTTTTGAGGCCGCAATGGTGACTGATGGGATAAGGGGTCTTCGGGGTCCTGCTTCCACTGGAAGCATGGACGCATCGGTTGGGCCACGACCCCTCTCACAGCCGATGCAACCATCATGTTGCCTTCCAATGCTACCTCCAGGCACACTATCTGTAATATCCCCCAACTCTCGTTGTCACCTGTGCATCCATGAAATTTGTGATGGGGACCATGCCCTCCCCGCCGTTGTCCTGGGTGGTCAGCAGCTGCGACTTGTTGGAGTGGATGGTCTGGCGAACGCTATGGTCCATGGGCAGCTTCCGCAGCCTCACGGTCATGGGTGCGGCATAAATCGTGACGGTGAAAGACAGGATGGCGACTGCCAAAACCAGCCTCGTAGACACCATTGCGGAATGGGTCCCCAGCGGGACGGGTCGACTGATCACTGCGAGATATGCGGGCGATTCAGCTTGGCCTCGATGTCGTGAGGTGTTGGTTAAAACAATAATCTGGTCAAATTGACCAGCAAGATGTGCTATGTGCTACTCGCACTCGAGAATCTCCCTCGGAAGGTGGACCTCCCACGTGCGCTCATAGCATGGACTCGCGAGGGATCACCCGGATTCACTACTGAACCATATCATGCATGAATGACCTTCCATACTCATATATTTTCACCATGCGCACTCATGCAGTGTTTGCTCAGCCTTCAGTAGGCTCGCATGGGACCGTGCGGCCTACATGGAGCCCACGCTCACAGCGACTTGGAATGCGAGGACGAGGCTCGATCCGAGCTCGCGCAGGAAGCAGCTGCCAGGAGGGGGAAGCGGCACGATGGACTCGACGCAGCCTGATGTACATCCTACCCGGCATGGCTGGGCTGGCAGGGCTGCCATCCTTTGCAGCAGACTTTGAAGGGGGTGATGCCATCTCATCGGCCACCCTGGGGAAAACTGCGTCAGGCACACCCGACCCTCAGCAGTACATGGATGAGCCTGATGGGTTTGCCATTACCCTGCCTCCTGGGTGGCAGCAGCGGGTGGGCCAGCTGGCTGGAGTCAACAACCGCCTCAGCAACTCTGCCGGCTTGAAGCGCGCCATAAGTTGGTGAGTGGCTGGACTGGCTGCACAGGTGTTTGTGACCGGGAGGCGGAGGTTGCCGAGGCGTGTTTCCTGGCTCCTCTCACATCCACTCTATGCTGCTTGCATGGATGTATTGTGTGACGATCACTTCCCACCCTGTGCACGGGCAGGCACCCCGATGGAAACCTGAACGTGAATGTCTCCGTGACTGTGTCGCCGCTGGCAGCCGACTTCACCTCCATCACTTCCTTTGGGCGGCCAGGTGAGACCTGTTCCCTGGGGTAGCATTGCTTGGGAATGGAGATCGTGTGGAGAAGGCTGCTGACTGTGTTGCCGGGTGCTGCCTGTCTCAGATCACTTCCGGGCACGGGGGATGCCATGCTGCATGTCACACATAAAACCTTTCCCCTACCACCCGAAAAGCGTGCACCCTGCTGCTCCTACCACACCCGCCCCCCAGAGGAGTTTGGGCAGGCGCTGGTCAACCAGATGGACCGCAGCTTCCTCACGCGCGCCGGCGCCCTGGGCAGGGGCGCCAGCAGGCGCGAGCAGACCGCCCAGCTGGTGTCGGCGCGCCAGGCCGGCCCGTCCTACCTCGTCAGCTACACCGTGTCCCCCGTCGATCTTGCGCCCCGCGCCGTGACGTCTGTCGTGACCCCGGGCAGCCACAAGCGCCGCAGTCGGCTGTACACGCTCAACCTCTCCGCCCCGGCGGAGGAGAGGGAGCGCTGGGAGCCCGTCTTCTCTGGCGTGCTCCAGTCGTTCTCGGTGCCCCGGGCCTGATGATTTTGTCCCAGGAACGCGCTCTGATGTGTGGCCATGATGCGCAACGATTCAACCCCCACCACCTTCTTCCACGTCGTCATGCTGGGGCCTTGCTGCGATGCTGCCTGCGGCGTGCCAGGTACTGACTTATACGCCTATTCTTTATGATCGATGTAACACCAAAAAAGAGGTGCACTGGCTTGGCGGGCAGGCCCCCGTCTGCCAGTCAGACGAGGGGCGCCACAGGGAAATACACTTGGGGATGTGCTCAGGCAAGACTGTTCCTGGAGATCTAGGGAGAAAATCACGTGGCATGCAGAGCGTGATGAGCATTGCATGTCGGGGGCCTTCAGAGGCAGAAGCATTGGAGGTGAAAGCTTGGGGTGACAGGGGAACGGCAATCCTCCTTCCTGATATTGCCGCAGTCTTGTGACGGGAGTGCAAACGGACACACCCTGATCATCTATACTCTAGAGCCGGGCCACGTCCTCCGCCCAGCCTGGTCAGCCTGGCAACCACTCGGGCGGTAGCCAGCCGGCAGCCCCAGGGCGGGGCGGGTCTAGCGGCCTAAACGCGGCGTGGCCTGCCAGCGAGTCAGACAACGGCGCAAGGGCCGGGCTGCCTCGTCGCGGATTCGGCAGGGGCGGCGGCGGTGGCGGCATGTTGCAGGACGCTTGGTACCGGGGGTCCGAGGGACCCGGCGACCCCGTCCCCTGGCGTCGGCGGGGGCCTGACCGGGGAGGGTGCCCATTGCGCTGCGCGTCGCGCCGCCCGTACGGCGCCTGCTGGTGCGCCGCGCGAAAGGCAGGGCCTGCCGCCGCTGGGGGCCGCTGCGCAGGGGGAGCGGCGCGGTCGTCCCCGATGGGGAAGAAGGGGATCGCCGGCACCAGGAGCGGGGCGGCACCCGCGCCAGGGCACCAGATGGGGAAGGGGGCCGGGGCGTGCCCCACCAAGCCACACGGCCCCGGCCCCATCAGGCCGGGGTGAGGGTAGGCCCATGGAATGGGCTGCTGACCTCCGTGCCCACGAGGCCATGCTTGGGAGAGCCGAACAGCTGGCGGGGCACCGGCGCCCTGGTTGGGGTTATGGGCAGGGGACACATTGGGTGGGGTGGTTGAATGAGCCTGCTGGGCTTTTCCGTGGTCGGGCGGCGGTGCATCTACTGCGTAGTCCATTCCCACAGACAAAAGGGGCCCCTGCAAGATATGGCAGGTCAGGGCGAGGCACGGCGTCCCCCCTGCGTCCTCAGCGTCCTGCCATGCTGTCCCCCCTCCGAGCCCCAACCCCCAGCAGCACAAACCCACTCACATGTCTGAGGGCTTGGGCGTCAAGGAAGCTTTGGACCCAGGATCGGATGCGGAGTCGGGCGTCGGCCCGCTGTCTCTCGAGGGCCCCGATGCGCTGGGCTCCTCCTTCCAGGTGTTCTCGCCCTGGTGGCTGTCCTGCACCCCATGTGCTGCTGCCGGGGTTGGCAGCCCGGGTTGGGGCTGTGTAGGGGGGGGTATTGCTGGCTGAGAGTCTGCTGGGAGGCAACCTATGGACAGGGAAGTGTGCAGGAACAAGAGCGGGATGTCCCAGGGCGAGCGATCTCATCCACCTATGCCGGTGCAAAACTGCACGAGGGCGTGCAAGCACATGCATGGAGTATGAGACTGAGACTGCTGGCCGACACGGGCATGGCGCCCATTCCGTGTGTCCCTCAGGAGCGCACAGGGTCGTGGCCCAGTCCCAGACACGGCGCAAGTATTCAGCCCTCCCCGCCCACCCACCCACTCCTCACCCCACCCACGCCTGCAGCCTCAACGAGGTCATAGCAGGTGTGCGGCCCATCATGCTGGTTCAGCAGCGCCACCAGCTCCGGCAGGCGATCCACTGCGTCCACTGACAGCATGCCGTTGATCGTCATGACGTCCCACCAGGCACGTGCAGCCGACAGGCGCCACATGGTGGCAGCCATCTGGGGGAAGGGAGGAAGGAGTGGTTTGGCGGAAGGGGTGGAAGGTGGACAGTAGACTGAGATGACATCTGCTGCATGTTCCGGGCTGAGGCCCCAAACCCTTACAGGGTGCCACAAGATGAAACATAGCAAATTGGTTGGACAGAGACTAGGGTTACGACGCCAAGTTCGTCCCCAAGAGAATCGGCCAGTACAGACCTCGTCCCAAATCAAGCATGGGCTGCCAACATGAGCCACACGCACGAAACGGCAATCTCTGCAAGGCCACTCCCGTAGAACTGCCACTGAGAATCCTGATCAGACAGCCCAACCTTGCGGATGCATGCAGACTCACGTCGTGAACTGTGATGGTACGCCCCAGGGAATGCAGCGAGCTGATCAGCTCGGCAAGTTCCTCCTTGCCACAGTCATCAGACTGGAGACAGTTGGTGTTGCTCACGGTGCCGGCCAGGACGAACTGCGGTGTATCCTGCACTTGTCGGGGGTCATAGAGACTTGACAGAGCATGTGTGGGAGGAGCACATACAAGTCCCAAAGCAGTAAGTCTCCACACATTGCATGCTCAAAGGCAGTGATACATCACATTTCCATGTCCATCAATAGTTGATCGCAGATGAGGAAGTGGCGCTGCACGTTGGTTGTCAGGATACCCCTCAAGCCACCCATTGCTCATCTTCCTCCAGTGGCCCAAGGGTACAGCTTCTGTAACCGCTCCTTCCACACTCACATTGAGGACGAGCACTATCTTCCCTCTGGCATCAAACGTCACTTCATCCACGATGCGCAGGCGGTAGCGGCCATGGTCCAGGACACGCACAAGGGCGCCGCTCAGGACCTGTCCGAACGCATGTGGGGCACCTGCAAGGGTGAGCGTGTGGACCAGGGGTGAGAGGCATGGTCAATATTGGCAAAAGAACTAAACAAGATGGTGGAGGCCACATGCTCGACAAAGGCATGGGTGAGTACTCTGACAAGAAAACTGATGCGTTGTGAAGAAAGGTAGAGAACAGATACTTGAAGTGCGTACATCAGCGAGGTGTCGGTACATACTCAATTGCATTGCCAATACACTTCTGAAAACAATGGCTTTGTTGGTCTGGTAGAAGGTACGCTTGACCACACAAGGACTCAGTTTCAATCGGCGGAATATGCGCCCCAAACCCCTCCTTCACACGCAGCCGCTCCCCAACCATGCCCAAGACCTCCCTGTGCACAGAAGCTCCTCCACGATGGCCAAGGGCAGGATGGCATCCCGCCCCGCAAAGATGATGGAGAGGTTGCTGACCGACAGTGCAGCCTCACACAAGTGGTGCTTGGGCCCTGCAGCCTGGTCTGGTGTGGACGCCTGACCACCTGATGGTGGTGGAAGTTGGGACCAGGTTATCAAAGCTTGGCATATGGCTTCTTGCACGAGATGTAGACGTCACAAGGCATCAGCTGCTTCATTCTTGTGTACTGCCAAGGCTGGACACAGAAGACACTGTGCAAATTGGGCAAGATCCAAACTCATCCGTCCCACACCTTGCTGCAAGGGTGCAATGCTTTTGCCCTGCACGTCCAAAAGCTGTGCGGATGGCAAGGTCGTAGGTGCCACAGGATCTGGCGGCGGCGTTGCTGCACGCTGCACGTCCTCCCTATTGCTGTTGCGTGCAGGTTGAAGGGCCATTCAACCGATAGACAACATAGAGCGTACTGGAATGCCTTTTCCATTCAATGTCGCCTTCTTCCAGGCCATACACCTCCCCAACCTGAATGCCAACCTGGGCCTGGGTGCTTCAGCTAACACACGGCAAAGCCATAGAGCACCCCAGCATCCCCCCATCCCAAGCCACAAGCCTTACTCTGTGTGGGTGTTGGGCCGCTGCATGACCTCAGGGAACTTGCCATGCTGAGGACGAGGGTAGAGAGGCTGGGGCGCTGCCACTACGGGGTCGAGGTGACGAGGTGGCGAGACAGCTCTACGCTCCACAGAGTGTCCCCACCGTGGCTCCTGGCGATTCTGCAGATCTTGATTGTTCAGGGTACCTGTGCATGCGGTTGGAGGTGCAGGGATGAACGCTCAGTCAGCAGTTGGGTGTTTAATCAACCTGATCAGGACAGTCAGTCGTTGACTGCATCGTGGGTCAGGAAGACAGGTGTTCCTGATTGGTGTCCAAGAGGGCTTAGCTTTGAGTCTCCCCGTCTTGTGCTCACTCCGTTTCGATTAAGCAAGAGTCATCCACTCACGGGGCATCAGGCTGAGACGTGAGCGCTGCTCGTACGCCGGGAGCCTGTCAGCCTTGCTCCTCCACTCCAGGTTTTCCTGGTCGTCCTGGTGAGCAGGCCTTCTGGGCTGCGACATGTCGCTCACGTCCATGACCATGGGAGGCTTGCGAGTGTTGGGGCAGTAGGCATTCCCTGAGCGGTCAGAGGCAAGATACCTCGATTTGGGCGTGGGTAGTCGTCTCTGCACAAGGTAGCATGGACCAGATCAGGGTGTGTGCGTGCAGGAGATTGGTGGCTTTCTGGTGGATGTACGCCGTCCCCATACAGGCAGCAAAGCAATCCCCACTGCATGGCAATGGGGAATGGTAGCCATCCATCTAGAGGCGAGGCCATCACTGAGAGCACAGGTGCACACCCTGGGCTATTTGATCTGGGAGCATATTCAACCACCCACCCACCCACCCACCTCCTCGATCTCATCATGAGTTGGCTCCCCCGCCAGGGCCGGCTTGATCTCCATGGCCTGCCCACGCAAGACACGTCCCTGTGGGTGGACAGGTGAGTGGAGAGTTGGCCCGCTGTGTAGCAAATGGACGTGGACCTCCTTGCAAGAAGGATTCACATCGTCAGACTTCGTGCGCAGGGATTGCATGCTGTGGAGGGGACTACATATCCAACCACACTGAAGACATCCGTATTAAATCTTCCAGCAGGCGATGCTAACCCGGGCTCACCTGGAGTGCACTCTGCGCAGCATCAGCCTGGTCTTGCGTTTCGAACAAGGCGAAGCCAAAACGCTGCAAGAGGGGGAAGGGGCGTTGGGAGTGGGTTGGGTGTATACATGTATTATTAGGACATGGGCGCATGGAGGTGTCACTGACTGTGAGGATGCTCTTCCTCATGCCCCTGACCCCCAACACCCGCCATGCGCTCTCACCCTGGACTGTCCCTTCTTGCCGAGCGCCACCTTGGCATACTGGGGCTTGAACGGTGCAAACAAGGGCCTGAGGTCACTGTCCGTCACGCACTTGGCCAGGTTGAAGAGGAAGAGTTTGCAAGGCTGCTCGGCTGGGGGCGGAGACACCCGGCGCAGATGGTGCCCATTGGGACGGTGGTAGTAGGCCTGGAGGGGATTGATCGGGTCCGAAATCTCGTAGGGTTCATTAATGGACGGGTAGATCAGGCATGGGTGCGCGGGAAGGGCAGCTCATGACATTTTCCGTGCGTTGTTACCCCACCGTACGACCTCACCATGCCGAGGAGAAACGGGGTCTTGGCACCTCGTCCAGGATGGAATGGGGCCGATGAGCACCAAATTAGACTTCCTGCAAGCGTAGGCCCATATGGAGAGGTATACCTGAGCCCTTCATGCGAACTGATCATCCAGGCATGCCGCCAGTGTGACACCGTTCAGGAGGATGACCGAAGTTATCCCTGCCTCACCTGAGGGTCCCTTGGCTCCACACCGGCTGAATGAGCCTCTTGAGAGTGGACAAGACGATCTTCATCGCCCAGTCTGGCCTTCATGAACGGTGTTTCCGAAAGTTCTCTCTTTCCCCATTGCAGCACCGCGCTGGCGGGAAGATCACATGGGGTTCCCGAGGCGAGCAGCTTCCCGTCTGGGCGCTGGCTGCAGGGCAGTTTCCTGATCGCGCCACGCGCCCATGAATGCCACCCAGACCGTGCGAGAAGTGCCCCACTTGCCCCCGCGATCGTTCACCAGCGCCACTGATAGGAGATAGTATTGGCTCACTCACGCCATGTCGACTTCTGGGATCGCGGAGGCTGAGAGCACTGAAATTGCCCCCCCACCCACCGAGCCCATCGCAGACCCCTTTGTGTTCAATGGCGAGACCATGCCCGGCATGCGCGATCAGGTCGTGACCGAAACCGTGGAGACCAGGGTTTGGACCGAGGAAGTGGGTGCAGCCGATGGAAGCCCTCCCCGGAGCCCCGATCGTGACCCGACCTACCGGTGCGCCGTCGTCGTGGGGGGGGTGGGGAAGTGAGGGCATGCTGATGGACCCCTGCCTGCCTTGTGACAGCAGGGTTGTGTTGATTGGATTGAAAAATATGCAATATTTTCATGGAAAATGAGAACTGAAAACACAATACTAACCTCGTACCCACCTCAACCCCACGGCAGGAATGACCCTGCCACCCCTCCATACTCGGCCGCCTCACCCGGCTCGCCTCCTCCCGAGTCCCAGCAGCTCAGCGACGCGGGTGCCATCATCCAGGGCACTCTGCACTCCGAGCTGGAGCGGGTGCAGCTGGCGCGGGAGGTGGACGTGCGGGCCGCCTTTGCCGGCCTGCCCCGCGTCCACTCCCACTGGACGCACCGCTACATGAAGATCCTAGTGGTGGGCGAGGCGGGCGTTGGCAAGACCACCTTCATCAAGAACCTGTTTGCCGCGTACGCCAGCGACCCCAAGTTCCCCGTCGCCGACACGCCTGCCAGGGGCGCGCGCAAGGCGAGTTTGCAGTCGGTGAAAGGGGGAGCGAGGGGGATGGACGGCATGTAGGGGTGTCTGGTGTGGGACTCGGCGGGCGCTGGATTGGGAGCGTGAGAATTCAGCAGGGCTTGCGGCCCTCTACACCGGGCCGCTGTCAGCTTCAGAGAGCGAGAGTGCGTCCCCCTTTCCCCCGCGCAGGCGTTCCGGGACAACCCGGAGTCGCTGTGCACCGAGGTGGTACTGCAGGATGTGGAGCGCCGCGTGTGCTACCACTACCGCGTGCAGGTGTGCTGGGCGGAGCGCTTGTGGCGGATTCCTGTGACCCGAGGCCGGGTCTGGAGTGACAGGATTGTTGCTGCACACCCCTCGACTCCAAGGCCGGCGGGGCCCTGCATGCAACCCCTGCGCCTCGAACTTGATGCCACGGTATCGAACGTCCGCCACGTAACACGGCCGCATGACTCCCTTGCCCCTCCAGCACACTACGTCACCCTCATCTCCCCCCTCCCCTCCCCCCCCCCAAAAACCATGGAAAATCTCAGGACACGCCCGCCTTTGGCGACGGCAAGGACCTGGATTCAGACCAGGCCGCGGTGCTGGACCACATCCGTGCCTGCAACCAGGCCTTCCTGGACGCGGAGCAGGACCCCGGGCGCCGCTCGCCGCTGGCCTCCCACCCCGACCCCCGCGTCGACGCCTGCCTCTACTTCTTCCCGCCCCACACCTGCCGCGCCAACGACCTGGAGTTTGCGCGCCTGCTGGCCGCCGCCGTGCCCCTGATCCCCGTCCTGGCCAAGGCCGACGCCATGACCAGCGAGGAGCTGGCGGGGCAGCGCGCGCGCGTGGCCCGCGCGCTGGCGCGCCACGGCGCGCAGTGGACCTTCTCGCCCCGCGCGCTGGCCGAGGCGGGCGCGCACGACGGCCCGCCCTTTGCCGTGGTGGGCAGCCGCGACATGGACCTGGCGGTGGGCCGCTTCTGGCCGGTGCGGCGCTACCCCTGGGGTCGCGTGGAGGCCCTGCTCACGCGTCACAGCGACCTCCCCGCCCTGCGCCGCCTCCTCTTTGAGGCCGCCTTTGAGGACCTCAAGGAGAACACCGATGCGCGCTACCTCGACTTCCGCAGGGACCAGGCCGCGCCGGGCATCGTCGCCGTGGTCACGGTGTGTGTCTGTGTGTTTGGAGGGGGCGCAAAGGGGCGCAGGGTGTGAACATGGTGCGGATCCCATCACCATGCGCCGCGGCGAAGGGTGGGGGCGGCTTGGATCTCGTCCTTGCCAGCAAGATGCGCGGGCCCAGGTTGATGATCAGGAATCCTGCACTGATGCGATGTGCTGGCAGGTGTGAGGCAGACTTGAATGGCTGGCCACTGGCCATGCCATAAGAACACCTTGAATTTCCCCCGCAGACCAACCTGCACCCCCCTCCCCCCTCCCCTTCCCTCCCAGACGCCGGTCCGCGGCCTGGTCAAGCTCGCCGAGTGGGGCTTTGCGGTGGCGGCCGTGCTCTGGCTGTCCCAGCAGGCGGGTCCACTGCTCACCGACCCCAAGTACCGCCAGCGCAAGCTGGAGGACGTGCGCGAGAAGGTGGGCGCTGCCTGGGTCTTGATGGGTTCCCTCCAGCCCCCTGTGCAGCCATGCAGGGCCTCCCTTGCGCCCACATTTCTGTTGGACCCCGTGTGCATTCGGCCCCGTGTCCTTTGCGCACTGACGCCCCTCCAATCCCTCCTCCCCCTCCCGTAACAGGTGGACACCCTGGCGACCAACGTGCGCGAGACGGCCGACGAGGTGCGCGCCAAGTCCGCCAACGCGGTGGGGACCGCCAAGGAAGCCGCACAGAACTTGACGTCCACGACGCGGGACGCGGCGCACCGTGCCAACCGGGTGCTGGAGAAGAATGTGACCTCCAGGGAGAGGTGGGACTCGGGTATGGGTGCTGCGCGGTGGTGTCATTGGACCGGGACAGGCGGGCGTCGGCCCTGCCCCGGCCGCACCATGCCTGGTCAGTTCACCTGCGGGACAGACTTCGCAGGAGGTCTTGCAAGGAGACCCACGTCAGCATGCCGACACCTCCCCACACCCATGCCTCACTGGATCGAGCATCACACATCCCCATCCCATCCACGCATCCCATCCAGGCGTATGGAGCAGGAGCGGCGCCTGCGATACGAGAGCAGGCCCTTCTGGCGCTTCTGGGGAGAGTAGGGGCAGATGTGCCATGTGGCCCCCCGAGCCGTCTGCCTTTCGCACGATCACGGCGGGGATGCGTCGCTCCTCAAAAGGCTGCCGACGCTCGATGCTGTCCCCAAGATCCCCAACTGACCCCGCTCTGTGTACCCCGTTGGCTTGTGGTGCTGTGTTCTCCCCACACCACACTGACCACTTTGACATGTATTGATCCCACTGCGTCGCAGCAAGTGGGTGGGGATCGCGGGACTGCACACCAGGATGTAGCTGGTCACGACGCTCACCCTCGCCGAGCACTTGGCGCCCTGGGCAGCCTCAGTCTCACCACCCCAAACTCCAGGGCTCCATTCGAGCTGCCCAGGAAAGCTGCACCGGGGCGGGCCTCCTCCGGGAGGATGCTGCATTGCGTGGGCGGCGCTGCCGCCCCGTCCTGCTCCTCGCCCGTCAAAGGCGCCCCTCCGACACCATTCCCGATGCCCGCCCCGAAATCGGACTCCATTCCACGTCCGAGCCTCTCCATCCTGTACAGGTCAGCCTCCCACCCCCCCGCCATCTCCCCCACCACCCCGCCGCTGGCCAGGACGCAGACGGTGCCGCCGCTGCCCCCGCCCGTGATCTTGGCGCCGTGCAGCACCTGGCGCTGCCCCCTGCGCGCCACGCGCCGCCGCTCCTCCCGCACCAGCTCCACGAGCCGGTCCGTGCCGGGGCTGCCCAGGCCGCAGGCGCCGTAGCTGGCGTGGCTGGCCAGCATGAGCTCCCCCAGCCGCTCCAGCTGGTCCTCGGAGGGCCCCGCCGCCAGCAGGCGCGCAAACTCGCACACCCTGCCGTGCTCGCGCACGGCGTGCTCGGCGGGCATGCGCACGGCGTAGGTCTCGAGGGGGTCCACCCCCGTCACGTCGTCCAGATGCTCGCCGTGGGTGCGCAGGAACTCCGCGCCGCTCAGCTCTGCCGGGCAGACGGCGCCCAGCCCGGCGTCCCACGCCTCGGGGCTCACCTGCGCCAGGCACCGGGGCTGCGGCTGCCCCCGGCACTCGCACGCCTGCTGCACCAGCTTGAGCCCCATGAAGGCGCCCGTGCGCACGGCGCCGTAGTCGGAGCCGCTCACGCTGTGCCGCTCCCCTGCGCAGGGGAGGGGGGGAGGGTCCAGGATGGAATGGAGTGCCACGCAAAGCCCGGGAGGCCACGCCTGTCCAGCCAGTGCGAGCTGCACCATGCCGGCTCCAAGGTCAGCGAGGCAGAGCAGATGCCGACCCGGCTCCCAAACGCACCCTGGGCCTGCCCTGCCCTGCCACCTCAATGTCGGCCAGCACCCATCACACACCCAGCACTCCCCCATCCCCACCATCCCCACCCGAGCTGATGCCAATGAGGCTGACGTGTTCCGGGACCTCCACGGTGCCCTGGAACTGGCAGGGCTGGCACAGCAGAGCCATGAGGGCGCCCTCTCTCCCCAGCGCCGAGGCCATCTGGTCCATGACGCCACAGGGCGCGCCCACCACCCGGTTCTCCGCGCGCTGGCACGCCAGCGCCAGCGCCGCGCCGTCGCTGGCCAGGCGTGTGGCACCGAAGGCCGCGGCCAGCGCGGACATGGCCGCCACCTCCACCGCCGCCGAGCTGCTCACGCCCCGACCCTCCGGCACGTCGGACTCGATGAGCACGGCCAGCCCGGCACCGCCGGCCAGCGGGCTGGACTCGGGGGCCTCGTGCGCCAGCACCAGCACCACCCCCACCACGTAGGCTGCCCAGGAGGTGGCGGGGTCGCGTGTCAAGAGAGCGCGGGCCGCCTGCAGGTCCAGCGGCTGCTCCGTCGTGCCCTGTGAGGGAGGGTTGGGCCCCGGGGGGCAGCAGTGTAAGCGGCCTGGAGGTGATTGCGGGGGTGCTCTGTGCCGAGGCTGTCCCAGCCTGGCTGTGATCGAACCAGAGTGCAGCCTCTCAGCCCCTACTCCCCTGAGACCCTCACTCACACAGTCGCCTGCCCGCTCACCAACAGGCGCATGGGCATCTCGAAGCGGCACGCCCGCTGCCCGTCCCTGGCGCCCAGGCTGACGATGCGCAGCATGGGCTCGCCCTCCCCCGGCGCGGAAGCCTGCCGCTGCAGCGCGACGTGGCAGGCCTGGCGCAGGGGAAGCTGCAGCACCAGGGACCCACTGTAGTCGGCGATGCCCCCCATCACATCCAGGCGCCCCGGCGCTCTTGACACATAGATGTCGCCCCCCTGCATGGGGTTGCCACATGAAGGGAGTGCTCGTCCGCCCCACACCAGGGGTCGACGGCGCGGGCGCACAGGCAGCTGAGCTCAGTGTCACGTCCTCGCGACTCAGCACTCGTGGTGGCAGGCAGCTTGACACGCACAGCCCTTCTGTCCCCGGTGACTGCCAGGCGGTGTGGTGCAACTCAGCACCATCAGCATGCCTCGGGCCCAAACATCGCAGCACCTGCACACCAGACTCGTCCCATGCTCCATCTTGCAATGACCTTGCAGTTCAGCCTCAAGCTTCCTCGACCCAGGAGAGAACACGCCGCCAGATCACCTTCCAGTCGAAGAGCTGCTCTGCAGCCTCAAGCTCGAGTGGTGCAAGATGTTTGTCGTTCCACTCATCAACCCCTCCGTTCAATCGAGAGTGAGCACGTTCGGCCAGGGAGCGAAGAAGGAGGATGAACGTTCGAGTACCAGAGAATCTGGACATCTTGTCTTCTGCATGAGGCATGGGAGGGATGTGCCTGGGGTGGTCAAGTCATGAGGAGGGGCTACACATTGCACAACACCGAGACCAGGACATAAGTCATTGCCATTTCCGCCCAAAACGATAATGCCGCTCTGCAGCACCTTGCCTGCAACCCCAGTTGGGACTGCATGGCCAATGTATGACAGTTCTTGGGCATCCTGGTCATCTAATTCATCGGCCCGGATGACACCAGGCCACTGACTTTGAACTCCTTGCCCCCCCCAGCCATTCCACCCTTCTCACCACAGTCAAAGTCAATGGAGAATGGCCATTTCATGTTGGCCATGGTGTTACAGATCCAAACAAAACAAATTGGTTGGCTTCAATCGCGAAATGCGCGCCGCGGCATATCTGTTCTCTACGAACGGGAGGGCACTCACTGTACCAAACGGTCTCGTCTCTGGCACGGCTCACGATTAGAAGATGGCATTGCCAGGCTCATGCAGTGAAAAGCATGCGCTCCTTTGACTTTTAGGCCCCCGCTAGGCTATGTCCACCTGTCTCGCTCCGGCTCGGCACCCCATCATTCCCATGCTGCGCATGCTCAGCACAGTCAAACTTGGCCTCGGCCCAAGTACCCGCGGAATCAATACCATGTCTTGTTGGGCAGCCCTACAGAGTTTATCCGTGGACCACTGAGCTGTTGTTGAAACCTTCTTGTAGGCGGCATTGCGAGAACTGCGAGGGCTGACCCTGCGTGTTGGGCGATCACGCCGAAGTGTTCCGACCCACACTGTTTCTGAGTCCATTCACCATCTTGAACCTTTAGCACTAGCTCGTGAACAATCATGCAGTCTGTGATCCAGGCTGCCGTAGAGCAGCAGGTGCTGCGAGCAGCAGAAGAGATGGAGACAGCACTAGACGCGCAGCTTCATGCCATGGACAACCTAGATCCCGATGATATTGAGGCTCTTCGCCAACGCCGCGTACAAGAAATGAAAAGGTGCGCTGTTTGAATACTTGAGTGCGGGATTGGACACATGCATCGTGCGTCTGGCAAGACGACGCCCAGGAATCATGCAATGGCGGTCTTTCATCCAAGTATAAGGCAGCTCGGTCCCATCAGAGCGCGCGGTGTCCATCTCGTGCTCAAAGTGGCGTATGATGCTGGGTGTCCTGCCACTTCGCTATGTTGTGCTCCCCACAGGCTTCAACAAAGGAAGGCAGAGTGGGCTGCACGGGGCCATGGAGAGGTGCAGGAAGTGGAGGAGAAGGAGTTTTTCAAGGTGAGGAAGGTCCAGAGTATGATCAGGGACTACTGCTGCATTCCGACTGAGCTTCCTTGCCAGCATGGCGGCTGTCTCCTGCTCATGAGCGTCTTGGAGGCTGCGGCCTCCGTGCTTGCTCAGGGGGATGAGTCACGGCTTTGCCGCACTTGTGCTGCACAGGCTGTGCACCTCAGGTCCTTTTTGCTGTGACCCCTGCAGTGTGCCAGGGGAGAGGAGAGGCTGGTGGCGCATTTCTACAGGTCCTCGGAGCCCTGCCGGGTGATGGACATGCACCTGGCACGGCTGGCACCCTCCCACATGGAGACCAAGTTTGTCAGGGTTGCAGCCGAGAAAGCACCTTTCCTGACAGGTGAGGGTGTGTAGTGATGGATGGGGAGTGTGGAGATGGAGTTCATGCCCTGGAGTTTGATTCGAGTGAGGGCTCACCATCGTGGATTGTCAAGGCACATGCTGCCTGGTCATCCAGCGAGCATGCCCGCCAACCCCATTGATGCCGTTGAAGCCTGTCTGGGAGTCCTTCTGCATATTTTTCAAGGGTTATTGTTTCCATCCTGGCTACCGTCCATAAGAAGCCAGCATGCCCACATCATGCTCACACCCTCTTGCAGATCGGTTGAAGATATGGATGTTGCCCACCCTGGCCATTGTCAAGTCGGGCAAAGCCACCGACTATGTCGTCGGCTTCAACGAGCTGGGAGGAAGCGATGACTTCCCCACCAGTGCACTGGAAGCCAGGTGCGCGTGCCTGCCTTCTTCTGCACATGACAGGCCTCGTCCGCCGTGCGGTGTCTTTGCGGGGCTTCAAGTGCCCAGCTGGGTCCACTCCAGGTCTGCGACCCTTTCTAAAAGCCGTTACTTAACACCCTCCCTCCTGCACGCCTCGAAACACACAGACTGGCAGCTGCGGGGGCGATCTCAGAGGATGTGCATCACAACAAGGCAGCGGGCGTGCAGCGGGAAGGCACGGAACGCACTGTCAGGCGGGGCGGGCGACATCGCACCGACTCGGACGAGGACTCGGACTTTGACTGACGCAGTGCGTCGAGCCCTCCTCAGTGGCCCACCTTGCCTCTCTGTGTCACTATTGTCTCGCTTGTATGTTCCCAGCACCTGCCTCACCTACCCCGATGCACAATACCCTGTACATCTGACTCCCTAAATCTGTCAAACACCTCGAGATTGGGTTGTGAGCTGGAGTCACCATGCAATATCCAGCCAGCATCCCGAGCTGGACACCCTCAGCCGGAGAAGAACAGGGCGAGGGCATTGGCATGCACCTGGGCTGCCAGGGCGCCAGCCTCCATCCCGCGTGCCCCCGCCACTGCCTCCAGGACCTGACGAAGGTTGGCGGGCTCGTTCCTCGACTTGATCGCTGCGTCTGGGTCCCACTTCTTCTTGTCCCTGACCTGGAGCCTGGTCTGGACGTGAACATGTGCTGGGGAACAAGAGGGGTAGCGAGGGGCTGCTGGGTGCTGGACAGGGGCATGAGGCGTCACAGGCCATCCTTGTCTCATCCCTGGACGGTATGGGTTCCTCCAGAGGCAGCGAGGCCCTCATCACACGAGCTCGTGTCCTACACAGGCTGGCGGGACGACAGCGCGTGGCACTCCCACACCCCGCCCAGCCACACAGCCTACCAGCATGGCTCGGCCGGATCTCGCACCAGGGGGCATCCGTTTCGAGCAGGATCCGGTCCAGCGGGAGGGCAGCCGCCACCGCGACATTCTCCGCTGCATCTTGGGTGCGGAGTGAACGGCTGACTGGATGCTCGTGGGAGAACAGTGCCGGCTGCTGAACCTCCAGAACCCTGTGTATTCCCCACGCTGGAAGACTCTCTGTAGGAATCTAGGAACCTGTAGTCCGCTTCCCAAGAACATGTATGACCCACTCCCACGGCCCTGCAACCATGCCCCCACACCCAGCCTCAGGCACTTGCCTGTCTTCAGGCTGCACCCGTTAAGTCCTATGAAGAGGCCCGGGTAGGACAGCACTTTGTGGGCCTCCTCCAGCGTCCCATCGAAAGAGTGCACCACGCCCCGCAGAGCACCCGCTGCAACAGGTGAAGAGGAGCGTTGAAGTAAAGCTCCTTGTGAGCCACCGCCACCCCTCCTGACCCTACCCGGCAGCTGCGCTTCACAGACACCCATCCCCTTGTCCAGACCCTCGATAGCATGGCCATTTGTCCCTGAGGAGACAGCGCTGCCATCCCTCCCCCCCCCCCAAAGCCCCCTCCTCCCCATTTCCCCAGCCCGCCACCTGGCTGCCTGGCGAGGGTGTCGAGGAAAGCAGGTGCGGCGGCCCGCAGGTGCAGGAACATGGGCAGCTGGACCTCGGCGGCCAGGCGGAAGTGGGCCTCGAACCAGCGTTGCTGCGTGACCATGTCGCAGAACTGCAGCCTGTGTGGTGAAAGAGGAGACGGGGAGGCGGGTAGAAGCCATCGCTCGCTGCAGGCCTGCGCTGCACCATGCAAAAGCGACCCACCTGTGCCTGACACACAGGGTTAGCATGTGCACCCGCAGCACTCACCTGTCACCGTCGAGACCACACTCCCCCACCGCCACGGTCTTCCCCTCCCTCTTCCCCTCCTCCAGCACGCCGCGCAGTGCCTCCCAGTAGGCGGCGGCACCCTCAGGGGCAGCCTCAATCTCCCCGCAACGAGTGGGGTGCACGCCTGCCGTGCAGTATAGCCGGGCTGCGATGTGAGGGACAAGGAAGGGGCGTGCTGGCTGGCGTGACGCATGGCGCGGGTACAAGACCGCAGCTGCCAACCTCAGGAGGGTATTTGGCCAGACTGAGTAGCTAAGAAGCCTTCCTGCACGCATCCACCCTCATAAGGATGCGGCCAGTCATCTAGGCGGTGAGTACAGCGGGGGCGCACCATCTGTGCGTGCCAGGGCCAGTGCTACCCTGCTTTCCTCCAGATTGGTGGCAGTGATCACAATCCGTGTTAGGCCTGGTGGTTGAGACGATGATGATGGGCACTGTTGTGTATCATGGAAAGTGTACCAGAAACCTCATGATGGCAGAGGAGCTGCAGGTGCGGCAGAAGTCCTCCACCACTGCGCTGTCCTTGTCTTCACATCTCCTGGCATCCCAGCAGAGCGCCCGGCCCAAACTACCCAGTACAGTCTCGACCCGATCGCAGCCCCTGAATGAGACCCTCTTCCCACCTCCAGGATGACACACCTGCACTCCAGGCCCTCTGCAAGACGCGGTCCAGGTCAGGTGGGTGGACGCCAGTCTTGCCATGGTAGCTCCCCAAGAACATGGGGTCCGTGAGGTTGGCGCCGATATCTGAGGGTCAAAGGCATGCATACCAGTGACGTGTCTCGGTGGTGGGGGTGCAACGCAAGGAAGAGCGCACCCGCGTCCAGCATACCGATCAGGTTGGCCGCGAGCTTTTGTGCGGGCGGCATGGTCACAGCTCGAACGACCACACGGCGTCCGACGCTTGGTTTATTTGCGATACTAGCGCACTCAAGGCGACGAGCTGAACCAAGGACACCGCGCAACATTCACAGTGCGCTTGGGCTCTATGCTGAGTTGACAGTCTAGGGAGCGTTAACACTGCGTCGCATGTCTGGGGGATGAGACTTCCATCCAGTACGCGATATAACGCTAATGCCAGCGTATGCATCACCCGAGTATCAATCGCTGCTTTGAAGCCATTTATCGGATGTCTCCCGGCAATTGAGGATCGCCCTAGTCCATCAGCTTCGCACAGGGCTCTAGAGGGGTGACGGAGCGGGGGAGCACAGGCATGCTCTTGATGAGTCTTTTTAGTGCTGGCCTTGCTTGCCTCAGCAGGCAGTGGGCGCTTTCTCAAGTATACTAGAACCTCCATCAGTCTCGTGCATCTCGCGGTCGCAAGGCCTCGGGGCCAGTTCATGGCAACCCAGGTCACTCACTCAGCGAACCGGACCAGCAGTTCAGTCTCGGTGAGGCTGTTCCACACCCAGGTCTCTCTCGAACGGTAGGAGCCTTCATGGGCTGCATGAATCTTCAAGAGGTCTCGTGATGGTACTTCCGAGGGTGCGGCTTGCAATACAGCTGCTGTGAACCGGACACGTGCAGAAAGCGCACCGGGGCAACCGGAGCGATTCACCTAGGCACGGCCTATGGGGTCATTTGGTTGCACATGCAACGTCCCGGTGATCTTCTATGGCCGGAAGGTGGCCATATTCGAAGCCTTGCTGTTCGAATCGCTGTGTCTTCGCTCGCTGCACTCACAGCTCCGCCTGCAGAATGGCGCCATCCACCTTCCCGCGCATATGTGACAGGCCTTTGATTTTGAAACTCCGGACGGAGTTTATCACAGAGTAAATCAAGGGAGTCTACAGAAGCCGCTCCCCAGAGCACATCAGTTATTGCATACCTGGGCACAGAGTCCTATATTTCAGCTGACACGTCGATGATCGTCTAAGAACAGCGGTGTCAACGTTTCACGATGCCCATCTGTTGAGCAGAAATTGATCGAGGTCGGCTTAGGGCATCCCCATCTCGAGAACTCCGCCAGGCCACCACCCTCCTTACCCAACTCAATCGACTTCGATCGGCACTTTGGCAACGTAGTTGAAGTGTGAGGCTCTGTGCGTCCCTGCACGCTGCCTGTGGGGGCCATGGCTTTCCGGGCGACAGAGCATCTTCCCGACGCGAGCGGGCAGTCTGGGTGCGACAACCTCCGGTGCGCGGGGGGTGCAGGGAGGTGGCAGGCGATGCCACTGCTGCTCACACTAGAGATTTTTGGACATGTCTTGCAGCCACAGCCATCCAGACTGCATGCATGATGGGGTTCCTGCATCGGACTCCATAGGTTGCCTCGTTCGCGGTCGACGTCGACCCCTCCCACCCCACGCGCCCCTGCCCACAATCCAGGGACGGGATGTCAACACCTATAAGAAAGTCTTCATTCAAGAGATTGCGCGAGGCGTATGCAGAATCCCCCACATCCCCATGCACCCCGCCGTGCCAGGACGCCATCGGCGTTCCTGCCTGGGACCGGCCCCTGCCTCCGGATGCAGACCCGAGCCAGTGCCCCGCCATCCTCGACTCCGCCACCTCCCTCATCCGAGCCGCCAGCCAGTCCCCCCTCATCTTATCAGCCCTTGGCGCTCTGAACAGGAGGGGCGCCAGCCTCAGCGAGGACAGCAGGGGCGGCACCCACACCAGCCTGGCCGTGGTGCTCGCCCTGGCTCGCCGGGCTGGGTGTGAAGGTGGGGCTGGTTGGATGTGTGTCGCGGGAAGATGGACTGTTTGGGATCGAGAGATCGAAGGCGTGTGCCTCGCCGCGTGCATCCCGCCTGGGCCGGGGCCGGGCTGAAGGCTGCCCCTCTCCCTGACGATCTCCCCGGCGTCTCCTCTGCTCCTCATGCTCCCAGCCATGGAATGCTTCAGCCCTGTCACCGCCGGGGATTATGGAGCTGTGCCACCGTATTGCTGCCCTGTTGCCTTCACTCATGATGCACTGGGGCCGCTGCTTTGAGTTCCTTGAACACGCAGGGCCGAATGCCCCCCCTGTTCCGACTGCCGCATGCATTCCCCCTTTCCAGCCGAGCAGCTGAAGCGGGAGGACCTGCTGCTCACCCTCCTCTGGATCGCCGACTCCTGGATGGATGCGCACCGCTCCTCCGCCACCACCGCCCTGCTGGAGTACCTGGCGCCCCTGTGCCACGCGCAGCCCCAGGTGAGGGAGGGGTGCACTCAGGCCGACTCCTTCTGCCCCTCACAGGCACGCGCGACACGCGCCCCCCTGGCGACTGTGCATGCGCCGCACCCCCTCCGCCTCCCCCTCGCCAGCACCAGCTGCAGCATGTGCGACGCCCGCCCGCCGCCCCGCGCCCGACGCAGGTGGCCTCCCGGCTGGCAGACATCGTGCCCACCCTGGTGCGGAGCATGGTCGGCCTGCAGGCCGTGCTGCTGCCGCGCCTGGGCTGGCGCCTGCGCCTGCACCCGGACGCCGACCTGGGACGGGCCGCGGCCGCGCTCTCGGCCGTGCGGTGCGCAAACCCCGGCGGGGGCGGGGGGCGGGTGCGGGCCATGCCCCTCCTCGCGGCCAGGGTGCAGCACGGGGCCCCTGCCGAGCGCCAAGCGGGGTGAGCGCATGGGGCCCTGGCCAGCGGGCACGGACCCGCGCCGAGCCCATGCAGCGTGCGGAGCAGGCGGCACCAGGCTGCCGCGGCCCGGTGTCCCATCCCCATGGCGCTCGGCTGCGCGCAGCTCCAGGTCCCCTCGCCCTGCACCCCTGTGGGTGGGGTGGGTGGGACCGGGGTCCCCTGCGCCGCTCCCAGCCAGTCCCTGAGTTTCTGGCGAGCCGTCCCTTGGCCACACCAGCAGCAGTGTGACCAGCCGCGTCGTCCTCCCGAGGACGTCGCGCGACGGGCATGCACCCTTCCCACACCGGCCCCTGCCACCGACACAACCAAACCACTGGAATACAATCCTCTCGGCGGCACCTGCACAGCACGGGTCCGCCATCTGCCGATGAGTTGCCTTTTTACAAGTCCTATCCAGCCCCGGAGAACTTTTGCTGGACAGCGGCATGCATGCCGAGCGCTCCCCGACCACCACCTGTCCCCACTGCTGTGTTCGGGCGGGAGACCATGCTTACTACGGGGTGCACCAGCCCTTGCGCATCCTCTGTCCGCATGTGTTGACACTGCCTCCCTGTTCTCGTACTGCGTAGATCAATCACTTGTAGTCTGTCTAGCGGGGACTGGGGCTCCAGAGAGTGTGAGGGTTCAGTACATGACATTGATAAGCGCCGCATGCAGTTCGAGTGTTGGGGCGCTCGCCTGCGCTGAGTGCCTGCAGGTGGTGCTCATGTCTCGAGGACTGTGTGCATAAGGTCATGTGCAAAGCTCAGACATTATCCTCTTCAGCTTTCTTGCACAAACAAGTCCTCCGAGCCTGGGAGCTGTATCATCAGGCTTACAGTATCATGCAACGCATGGAAGCGGAGTGCTACGCAGTGCATAGTTTTCAGAACAGAAAGGGGAGTGGGGTGGATGGCAGTGGTCGGCCGGCGCCTGGGTTCTGAGCACACGGCACACACCACCAGATGGTCAGAGGGGGCAATGTCTGTTGTGTCATGCATGCATGCAATGAGCCGACACGATTGGCGATGGAGGGACAGTGGGCGGAGGCGACCCAGGAACGTGGTCTTGAGGACGGACTCTCTGAAAGGGGTTACAGCCTCCACCACCTTGCCAGAAGCCAGTCCCGCCTCAGCCAGGTCAGCGGGTCGCCGCTCACCAGAACTGCCACCAGGGCTTGCTCTGGAGGTCGTGCTTGATGGCGTCGCCCTTGTACTGGCGCCGTCCCTCACTGCCGTCCCTCTCCAGCTTGCTCCCCGCATCCTTGAGCGCGCGCCCGGTAGTCTCCTCGGCCCCGCTGGCGGCGGCGCCCAGCTTGCTCCCGGCCTTGGCCACAGTGTGCTCGGCCCGGAGTGCCGCCTGCTTGGAGGCCTCGGCCAGGTCAGCGGCCTTGTCCGCCACGTAGGAGCCGGCATTGGAGGCGCCGTCCTTGGCCTGCCCCGCCTTGTCCTTGGCCGCGGCCTTGGTGTCCTGCCACTTGTCCTTGGCGGTGGCCTTGGTGTCCTGCCACTTGCCCTTGGCGTCCTCGCCTGCGCCGCCGGCCTCGCGCTTCAGCCCGAACCAACCGCGCTTGGCGGAATTCTTGGCATCGCGCGCGGCGTCGCCAGCCTGGCGTCCCTTCTTCCTGCCCCAGAGGCCGACGGAGCCCTCCTCCTCCTCGGCCTTGTTCAGGGCGCCGGCACCCAGGGCCACGACGGCGGCGGCGATCAGCCAGGGCGCGGCGCGGGCGAGCAGATCCTTCCACTCCTCCCTGTTGTTGGGGACGCTGCCATCGCCGCCTGTGGTACGTTCAAAAAGGAATTTAGGCCTGAGTGAGCGGCGTGGGAGCACCCTGGCCTGGTCAGATCCCTTCCACGCCGGAGGAGTACCCTATCCACCCAATCAAGATGGAACGCCAGATTGCCCCATCGAGCACCCCTGGGACAAGCACGCCATTCAGATCCACCTCGCGCTCACTTGGGCGGGGCGGGGCCGGCACGGTGGGCTCGAGTTTGGTGGTCTTCACCACCTCCGCGCGCCGCACGGTCTCCTTGACGTCATGAGTGCCGGAAGTGCCGTAGGAAGCCATAGCGATGCGTCTCGCTGGCGTGCGAGGGGGTCCAAAAGGTGTAGATTTGGGTGGATTAAGTAAGCCTCCAGCAGTACGATGGCGAAGTAGGCTCGAGGGTGTGTATTTTGATGGGGCAACGGACACGGGGATAAAGGGGCGATCCCGTGCACGAATGGAGCAGCTAGCTGGTACCCGGAACCTATGCTGCACCTTCCCCTCAGCTTCCGGTATTGACCTTTAACCTTGTTGCCTTGGCATCTGGATGGTTCACCTGCCTGTTGACATCGATGCGATGCTTCCTGTCGCATGTACAGTATGCTGAGCAAGGAAAATTTGTCCAGCCCATATGTAGAGCAAAAATAAGCTGTTGGAACCTCACTTCACAGCCACAGCATTGGCCCCTGCGCCTAGATCAGTACTTCTCCCTCCTGTCGACCTGGCTCGTGCCTCCTGCACCCAGACGCCAATCCAGTGCTCCTCCTGAGCCCTCGCCTGCTTCACCGACTCGGGGTCTAGGGGGTGCGAGAACCTGTGGCAGTGATTGGGGGATGAAAGAAGGCGGGCTGCTTGACAGAAGGAGTCGTAGATCCATGCTCGATTCAGACGTGCACAGATGTGATTCGTATGCAGGGGCTACATGTCCAGCATCTCGATCTGTGCAGGCGTGTCCCTTCTCGGACGAATTAAGGCCCCACACCGTACATGAGGTCGAGGTGGTGGGCTCCCTCTGGGATGATGATGGCCACCAAGGTCTCCGACAGGTTCCGAAGCACGCCGCCAGAGCTCCCTGACGGGGAGGCACAGGGACAGGTTTTAGAGCTCAGGAATTGCCATGGCTACAAAGCAATTGGTCAGTAAGGGAAGATGGGTGTGAGCCCCTGGCTGATGCACCCTCTCCGTGGCCTGACGATCGCAGCCGCTTATTACCACAGCAAGCCTTACATGGATCGTAGAGCCCATTGCTGAACACGATGTTGCTAGCAGCCTCCAAGCGTCTGCCTCCCCACCTGGCCGGATGGATGGTGCAGGGGATGCGTATCAAATCTTTGCCAGGTGGGGCTCGTGGCGATTGGAAACGTAGTGGGCGTCCTCCTCGGACACTTTCCCAATACAAATCCTGATTCCAAAACAGGCACAATCGGCGACCAGACATCAACTCACTCGATGCTGGGCCAGTAGGCACGTGGGGTCACCCCCCACGTCTTCTGGCATCTCTTCACCTCCTTCTTTCGGTCAAAGGGCTGTGCGTACAATGTGCGAGGGGGGGATTCAGACATACACATACTTCGAGGTGCCCTTCCACACGCCGGCGAACTGAATATTATGGGGCTTCCCATGTCGCACATCGGTCGAGCCAAGCCCGCCTGCACCTTTCCACGCTGTGGCCGCTGGTGCATCCCACCACATCGCCCCATACCTGTGGCCAGAACATGTCATTCTCGCCATCCCGGCTGAAGGGCATGAACTGCTCGGTGCATGCCTGGTAGCCCCAGAGGTCCTCCACCTCGTCCTCCTCAGGATTGGCTCCCTTTTATTTTGGGGCCCAGGGAGAGTGGTGGACTGCTGAGCCGAGGGGGAGGGCGAGCCCATCATAGTGTTGGCTGGGAGCACAGCTGCTGGTTGCAGGCATCATTGCAAAAGGTCCGCTCCCCAACCCATCCCACCCAACACAGCCCACCTGTTCCCAGTCGAAGCACGGCAGGTTGCCAGAGTGGTTGTAGAACACGCCGGATGCAAGACCCAGGCCCCTCAACAGCGCCTGGTGGTCATTGGGCAGCTGTGGATCCGCCAGGTGCTGACAGGCCACCCGCACGGGGTACGCCGGCAGCTCGCCGTCGCCGTTCAGCATGTATCCGCTGGGGTAGGGATCTGCGCGGCATGCGTGCAGTTGGGGTGGCACCATACGAGTGAGCGGGTGAGCAGAGGCACCCCGGAACAGGGGTCCCACACCGCGCCATCGGACCCCACAACTCAATCATCAGATCCCAGGCGTTAAAAACAAGGTGCCCTGCCCTTGCCCTTTCTCTGCGGTGCAGCGCCGCAGCAGTGCCTGTCCCCGCGTCTCTCGCTGCACTGGGCAATCCCCGTCACAGACCACTTCACTCACAGTTGCCCATGGCCAGGTAGTCCCAGGCCCCCTGGAGCCACTCGGCCAGCGCCTCCACGTCGGCGCTGGTCCGCGGGGCTGCCCGGCTGCAGAGGCCGAGGGCCTGCGACAGCTTGTGCCTCCCCGCCTCCGAATCCCCCAGCTTGAAAAGCAGCTTCCACCCAGCCTGCACGCCCAGGGTGTTTGGTGTGTGGCACTCAGTTGGGTGCCAAGGCATGAGGCTCAGTCCAGAAGGACCCTGGCATCCCCGCCCTCACCCTTGCGTTGGCGACACAGGCCGGCGCAGAGCCGCCCTCCTCGCTGGCGTCTCGCGTGACCACGGCGGCAAAACCACCGGCGTCGTACGCAGGATCCTCCCCCAGAAACCTGGGCTTGGAGCGTGGGGGTTGTTTGGTGGAACGCGAGGGGTCTCAGGCCCAGACCCCGACACCCAGTCTAGCTGTTCATGGCAGCGCTCGAGTACAGGGAAGAAGACGCTGCCATGCCACGACCCGGAGGGCCGTGGTCGCTAGTTTCCAAGCCACTGGCACTGGTAGGTTGAGCCAGCAACCAGCAATACACGTAAGGACCCCTCCTCCTATCCCATTCTCTCACGTCCAGATGGGGGCTGATCCGGCAATGGCCCCGTCCAGGAGGTGCGGATACTTCATGCGGAACCAGGCCGCAAGCATGCCGCCGTAGGACCCCCCAAATCCCACGACGGGGGCGTCCACATCGCCCAGCTCGGTCCTCAGTTCCCAGATCAGCTCCGCATAGTCGGCCATGGCCTGCTCGGTGGTCAGCCAGTGCATGCTGTGCCGCGTCCTCTTCTTGAAGGGCTTGCTCTCGCCATAGTACCGGTGCTCTGCAAACACCAGCAGTGCCGAGTGCTTGGGGCCCAGCTCCCACATCAGACCTGGTGTGTGTTGGGCAGGGGTGTTAGGATAGGGGCATGTGGGAGGGGGAAAAGGTTGGGGTAGGGATTTCAGCGACCTAAGTTTGGTGAGGACAACAGGCAAACAGTGAGGAGGGCCCATGCCTGCATCCCGGCCTTCAATGGCCAGCTTTTAGGAGCCAGACTGTAACAAAACCCATCTTGGAACCACTTCAGCCTCCCCATCTCCTACAAAAAACTCAAGCAGTACCAGAGTTATTAAGGTAGAGCGTCACATCCGCCTCATTCCCCAGGTAAAAGAAGATTGGGCCTCCAGGCTTGTAGTGCTCCGAGCAGACATAGTACCGCTGGTCAAACTTGGTGGGGGTGGCCTACGGGTGGCGGGTGGGCACTGACAGGTGAGGTCAAGAGGGTCGTACGTGGCCCGGGTGAGGTCGCAGGGAATCCAAATCGAGATCAAGGCCCCACGAGGAAGGGACCAAACTTGGTGGGCAAGTGAGGCTGTGCATCCCCCATGACGGTGCTTCAAGCCCTCGACACTCACCCAGCTGAAGTGATCCAGATGGGTGGACCGGGAGCGCCTCTTACAATGTGAGATGAGATCCTTGCTCCGTGAGGAGCCATACGAGAATTTTGAACTGCTGCGACCAATATACGGACCTGTCGGTGGCTGGTAAGAGGCCACGGGAGTGGTGCATAGTGCACACAAGCATATCAAGAGGGTCGTCCGCCCCCCCCACATTCTTATAGGGGCAGACACTCAGCGTCCAATGGTGTCAGATCTCAATCAAGCTGTGTGTTATGCAGATCAGAGGGCAATGCCGATGGCCTGCATACTCCAATTGGATGGGCGTGCCGGGTTGCGGTGCTGACCATTGTCTCTCGGAGGCTTGCGTGGCAAGTCTGTGAAATTCGGTCCCACCAGCACAATTTCCAAACCCGCAACTTGAGCAGCTTCACCCCCCTCTTTACATCAGCTGGGATCGATGCAAGGCTCTCTCAGGATATAGGGCTGCAAGTATCGCTCCTACAGAAGGGCACAGCTCTGGGCATGGGAGTGACCGTCATACCATGGTGACAAAAGGCCGGAGATGATGATACTCCACCAGGACCTCACCAAGTGAGCATGGAAACCTCTTTGCGATCAGTGTGGTAGCAGTAAATCCATCATAGGAGACAGAGATGGAGTATGAGTTCCGGGCCTCCAATACTATACAATGCCATGACATTAAGGAAGTCGGTCTTATGGCCCCTTTTGCACAGGCTTTCCAACAGCAAAGTAAGGATCGATGATTATCTGGAAGAAGTAATCTCTGTGGGGGTGGAATGGGGTAAGCTGGCTCGGGCAGCTTGTTGAGAGATGAAGTGATGTCACGAACACAAGGATGGACATCTGTAAATTGCACAGCACGAAGGAAATGGAAGCTGCTCTCCACCTGAATACCTTCACTCACTCACTCCCGACCACTTACCTAGTTCTTTCCAAGGTCAGGGTGCAGCCCTGAGCTGCAAAGGCAGCCCCAAATCGTTGGATGAGGGCATGAGCCTGTGCCTCCCAAGCTCCGTAGTCCCCTGCGTCAGGGTTCACGCAGAACAGGCCCAGCACGGCTCCGATGCAGAAGCAGGAGGCCCACTGCCCCATCTGGCTCGCACTGGGGGTCTGGGTGTAGGGGTGCTGGGCGGCCAGCGTCTGGGTCTCGGTCATGAAGGCGCCCCAAAGGTTCTGCAGGTCAAGGGGTTCTAGGCTGGGGTGGCATGAGCCGGGTGTCACATCGGTGGAGTTGTCCAGCAGCTTGGGCGCCTCAGGATCTCGAGAAAAACAGCGTATCCTTGCTTAGAGGTTACACTTGCAGGCCTTCACGGCAGACCAACAATTCTTGCGATGCTTACAGGATCGATACGGCCTTGGAGCTGAGGAGGAACTGCGTGCGGGGTGTGCTTCAGGGCGATGACCCTGCTCCTGCCGCGATTGCTTCGCAGAAATTCTACAACCACCTTGGTGGGAGTTTCTCGCCAAGCCATGGAGTGTGGCTACAGCCTCCAAGTCAGTAAACGCTGCTGGTTGCAGTTGGCTCGACACGCCCAGCTGTCTTGACCGAGGGAATTGAGGACTTTGTTCACACAGTGCGTTGGTAAAGTGCCGCTTGTGCGGTTTTCGCGGGGTTTGAGACACAATATCTTACAGCTTGTCGCAAGATCGAGGAGGAGGCTATTCTTTGACTCGTTCAGTGTCGTACGCGTTGAACCTGCCAGGGCGCACATCATTCCGGGGATGTGCACCGTTCAGAATCTACCACTGATTCTCACAAAGAGCTTCTGTCTGGAGTGGCCTGCCTCTCAACACGGAAGGCCGACTGGGTCATAATTGACACAAGGAATACTGCAGAAGCCAGGATACGGGAATAGATACAGGAGGTGGAGCGACGCATTGTTCTGCGAGAGCTCGGCCTTCATGGGCGAGTCACCACGGGAAGTGGTGAAGGGGTTGACGATGAAGCGGGGCAATACGTGAAAGGGAGGGGCTCAAGAATACGGTAGGGCCTCGGCCGGCAAGCCCGGCAGGGTGGCCCGCTGTCGCTAAGCTCGCAGGGACCGGAAGACACGATGAGCCAACCGCGCTGAGGCCATGGTGCTCATGAACCAATCCGGTGGTTGGGAGGACAGCAACCTGGCCGACTCCCCAGAGTGCGCGACCATTCGCTGCACGTTTGGGGATTGTGGGTCAGGAGTGGCCCCCGAGCGCGCGCAGCCTGGCAGGCAGAGTCCGCCCCACGCCCTTCAAACCCCCCTCCGGCGGGGCCTCTGCATGGCGACCTGCGACGCGCTCCGCGGCAGCTCCGCCAGCAGCCTGTGGATGACGGTCAGCGGGGGGGTTTGCGGGTGGGAAATCCTCTGCAGCAGGTCCCTGTGACTGCAGCAGCCATGCAAGCGCTGGGCCGAGCAGGCACTCACTCGTCAAAGGACGCGGCATGGGAGACGTGTGCTCCCAGGCGCGGGCACCGGGGAAGGGGTGTGCTCCCGGGCACGTCCCCGGCCCCGTCGCTGCGCTCGCCGTCGCCCGGCGACCCCTCGCCGGCGTC